TCACATTAGTCCGGACTAGAACCAGGAAGTACCGTCACATTAGTCCGGACTAGAACCAGGAAGTACCGTCACATTAGTCCGGACTAGAACCAGGAAGTACCGTCACATTAGTCCGGACTAGAAGCAGGAAGTACCATCACATTAGTCCGGACTAGAACCAGGAAGTACCGTCACATTAGTCCGGACTAGAACCAGGAAGTACCATCACATTAGTCCGGACTAGAACCAGGAAGTACCGTCACATTAGTCCGTACTAGAACCAGGAAGTACCGTCACATTAGTCCGGACTAGAAGCAGGAAGTACCATCACATTAGTCCGGACTAGAACCAGGAAGTACCATCACATTAGTCCGGACTAGAACCAGGAAGTACCGTCACATTAGTCCGTACTAGAACCAGGAAGTACCGTCACATTAGTCCCGACTAGAAGCAGGAAGTACCATCACATTAGTCCGGACTAGAACCAGGAAGTACCGTCACATTAGTCCGGGCTAGAACCAGGAAGTACCGTCACATTAGTCCGGACTAGAACCAGGAAGTACCGTCACATTAGTCCGTACTAGAACCAGGAAGTACCGTCACATTAGTCCGGACTAGAAGCAGGAAGTACCATCACATTAGTCCGGACTAGAACCAGGAAGTACCGTCACATTAGTCCGTACTAGAACCAGGAAGTACCGTCACATTAGTCCGGACTAGAAGCAGGAAGTACCATCACATTAGTCCGGACTAGAACCAGGAAGTACCATCACATTAGTCCGTACTAGAACCAGGAAGTACCGTCACATTAGTCCGGACTAGAACCAGGAAGTACCGTCACATTAGTCCGGACTAGAACCAGGAAGTACCGTCACATTAGTCCGGACTAGAACCAGGAAGTACCGTCACATTAGTCCGGACTAGAAGCAGGAAGTACCATCACATTAGTCCGGACTAGAACCAGGAAGTACCGTCACATTAGTCCGGACTAGAACCAGGAAGTACCGTCACATTAGTCCGGACTAGAAGCAGGAAGTACCATCACATTAGTCCTGACTAGAACCAGGAAGTACCATCACATTAGTCCGGGCTAGAACCAGGAAGTACCATCACATTAGTCCTGACTAGAACAAGGAAGTACCATCACATTAGTCCGGACTAGAACCAGGAAGTACCATCACATTAGTCCGGACTAGAACCAGGAAGTACCATCACATTAGTCCAGGTCTCAGGTCTCTCCTTCCTGTGGCTCAGAGAATAGACTTAAAAATCCGTTCTGTGACTGGACTCCTGCTGGGACTCTGAGGAGCACAGGGACTGGCCTCCTGCTGGGACTCTGAGGAGCACAGGGACTGCCTCCTGCTGGGACTCTGAGGAGCACAGGGACTGGCCTCCTGCTGGGACTCTGAGGAGCACAGGGACTGGCCTCCTGCTGGGACTCTGAGGAGCACAGGGACTGACCTACTGACCTGACTAAACATGTGGAGGCAGCTTTTCAGATTTATGCGGCTAAAACAGTCTTCCTAAAAATGTGAGACAGGCTTCTTCTATGACAATGTTCAACTCCAGGTTAAACTGAAGGATTAAATCTTCACTATTATTAATGTACAGTGATTTATAATGATTTTATTTTCTTGTCTGACTGTTTCTATCTTGTTTTGTGCTTTACAAATACATTTCCCGGGCCTTGCATCTCCTTTCTGTCACTCATAACAGAATTTGAGCACACATTTAAACACATTTAAACACATTTAAACACATTTAAACACATTTAAACACAGAACTGTATCCTCCAGATTTGGCAGCAGCAGAAATCCAATAGCTCCATGCGTGTTTGCACTTAATAATAATTGAGCTGAAAACCCGTTGCCTTTGTCCTGTTGTTCTCCTCGTGATACAACAATACTTATGTTGCTAACCTGATGCCACAGTCTGTGCCCCGCCCACTTCACCTCCTGCTTACACAACAACACACAACAACACACAGACAGAGCAAGTCTAGACACACAGGCTCCGGTCAGAACGACCCAGAGAACGCACACATCACCTGCCACACCTGCTCTCTCTCTTCCCCTTTCTCTGTCTGTCCGTCTCTCTCTCCGTATATATCTTTGTCTCTCTTCCTGCGTCTGTCTCTGTCTCTCTCTCTCTTCCTCTTCTGTTTCTCTCCCTGTGTCCCTCTATCTCTGTCTCTCTTTCTCTGTGTTTGTGTCTCTCTCTTTCTCTCTGTGTGTGTGTCTCTCTCTCTCTTTCTCTCTGTATGTGTCTCTCTCTTTCTCTCTGTATGTGTCTCTCTCTTTCTCTCTCTGTATGTGTCTCTCTCTTTCTCTCTCTGTGTGTGTCTCTCTCTCTCTTTCTCTCTGTATGTGTCTCTCTCTTTCTCTCTCTGTGTGTGTCTCTCTCTCTCTTTCTCTCTGTATGTGTCTCTCTCTTTCTCTCTCTGTGTGTGTGTCTCTCTCTCTTTCTCTCTGTGTATGTGTCTCTGTCTCTCTTTCTCTCTGTCTGTGTCTCTCTCTCTCTTTCTCTCTGTGTGTGTGTCTCTCTCTCTCTCTCTCTCTCTCTTTCTCTCTGTGTATGTGTCTCTCTCTCTCTTTCTCTCTGTGTGTGTGTCTCTCTCTCTCTTTCTTTCTGTGTGTGTGTGTCTCTCTCTCTCTCTGTGTCTCTCTCTTTCTCTCTGTGTATGTGTGTCTCTCTCTCTCTCTCTCTCTCTCTCTCTCTTTCTCTCTGTGTATGTGTCTCTCTCTCTCTTTCTCTCTGTGTGTGTGTCTCTCTCTCTCTTTCTCTCTGTGTATGTGTGTCTCTCTCTCTCTCTCTCTCTCTCTTTCTCTCTGTGTATGTGTCTCTCTCTCTCTTTCTCTCTGTGTGTGTGTCTCTCTCTCTCTTTCTCTCTGTTTGTGTGTGTTTCTCTCTCACACACGCACACACTCTTTTTCCCTCTCTCCTCCCGCCTCTCTCTCTCTCTTCCCGTCTCGCTCACTCACTCCTTGTCCCTCTCTCTCTCTCTCTCTCTCTCTCCCTCCTCTCTCTCTTTTCCTGTCTCTCTCTCTCACTCCTTGTCTCTCTCCTCCCTCCTCTCTCTCCCTTCTTGTCTCTCTCTCTCTCTCCCCCTCTCCTGAATGAATCTCACGCTATTTCTAGGAACTCTCCGGCAGTAAATATCCAGCTGTTCCAAATCTGGGAAAACGTCACTTGCAAATGACAAAGTCTGAACCAGCCTCAGCACGAGTCACGTTCTCGAAACATAATAAGTCTCTCATAAGTCTCTACCTCTCATAAGTCTCTACCTCTCACATGTCTCTCTCATAAGTCTCGACCTCTCATAAGTCTCTAACTCTCATAAGTCTCGACCTCTCACATGTCTCTCTCATAAGTCTCGACCTCTCATAAGTCTCTACCTCTCATAAGTCTCGACCTCTCACATGTCTCTCTCATAAGTCTCGACCTCTCATAAGTCTCTACCTCTCATAAGTCTCGACCTCTCACATGTCTCTCTCATAAGTCTCGACCTCTCACATGTCTCTCTCATAAGTCTCGACCTCTCATAAGTCTCGACCTCTCATAAGTCTCTACCTCTCATAAGTCTCGACCTCTCACATGTCTCTCTCATAAGTCTCTACCTCTCATAAGTCTCTACCTCTCACATGTCTCTCTCATAAGTCTCTACCTCTCACATGTCTCTCTCATAAGTCTCGACCTCTCATAAGTCTCTACCTCTCATAAGTCTCGACCTCTCACATGTCTCTCTCATAAGTCTCTACCTCACATAAGTCTCGACCTCTCACATGTCTCTCTCATAAGTCTCGACCTCTCATAAGTCTCGACCTCTCACATGTCTCTCTCATAAGTCTCTACCTCTCATAAGTCTCTCATAAGTCTCTACCTCTCATAAGTCTCTCATAAGTCTCTACCTCTCATAAGTCTCTCATAAGTCTCTACCTCTCATAAGTCTCTCATAAGTCTCTACCTCTCATAAGTCTCTATCTCTCATAAGTCTCTACCTTTCATAAGTCTCTACCTCTCATAAGTCTCTACCTCTCATAAGTCTCTACCTCTCATAAGTCTCTACCTCTCATAAGTCTCTCATAAGTCTCTACCTTTCATAAGTCTCTACCTTTCATAAGTCTCTATCTCTCATAAGTCTCTACCTTTCATAAGTCTCTACCTCTCATAAGTCTCTACCTCTCACATGTCTCTCTCATAAGTCTCTACCTTTCATAAGTCTCTACCTCTCATAAGTCTCTACCTCTCACATGTCTCTCTCATAAGTCTCTACCTCTCACATGTCTCTCTCATAAGTCTCGACCTCTCATAAGTCTCTACCTCTCATAAGTCTCTCATAAGTCTCTACCTCTCATAAGTCTCTACCTCTCATAAGTCTCTCATAAGTCTCTACCTCTCATAAGTCTCTATCTCTCATAAGTCTCTCATAAGTCTCTACCTCTCATAAGTCTCTACCTCTCATAAGTTTCTCATAAGTCTCTACCTTTCATAAGTCTCTACCTCTCATAAGTCTCTCATAAGTCTCTACCTTTCATAAGTCTCTACCTCTCATAAGTCTCTACCTCTCACATGTCTCTCTCATAAGTCTCGACCTCTCATAAGTCTCTACCTCTCACATGTCTCTCTCATAAGTCTCTCATAAGTCTCTACCTCTCATAAGTCTCTCATAAGTCTCTACCTTTCATAAGTCTCTACCTCTCATAAGTCTCTCATAAGTCTCTACCTTTCATAAGTCTCTACCTCTCATAAGTCTCTCATAAGTCTCTACCTTTCATAAGTCTCTACCTCTCACATGTCTCTACCTCTCACATGTCTCTTTCATAAGTCTCGACCTTTCATAAGTCTCGACCTTTCATAAGTCTCGACCTCTCATAAGTCTCGACCTCTCATAAGTCTCGACCTCTCATAAGTCTCGACCTCTCATAAGTCTCGACCTCTCATAAGTCCAGGCTGAGACCCGGGTCTGGAGGTGATGACCAGCGTTACAGATACCAGTGAATATTAAAGTGGAACCAGAGGAGATGGCGGTGAGGATAGCGTCAGGTGTCACTGCGACTCAGCAAATTATTTAGTTCTTTCAGCCATAAAAAAAAACAGAAGGAACGAACCCAAAGTCACGAATACAAACGAGGAGTCAATATCAACTGTGTGTGTGCTGACTACTGCCAGGGGGATAGAGTAGTTTATGTACTCTCTCTCTCTCTTTTTCAGTTTCTCTCTCTGTCTCTGCCTCTCTCTCAGTGTGTGTCTCTCTCTCTCTTTCTGTTTCTCTGTCTTTCTCTCTCTGTCTCTATTGCAGTCTCTCTCTCTCTCTCCTGCTCCCTTTTACACCTCCAAACTTTAGAAATTATTTTCTGTGACTTGTTTGACTAAGTTTAGTAAATAAATAGAATCGAATCCTAAAACACACACACTGTATATATACTGTATGTACACTGTATGTACACTGTATGTATACTGTATGTAGACTGTATCTATACTGTATGTATACTGTATGTACACTGTATGTATACTGTATGTACACTGTATGTATATTATATATATATATACTTATGTACACTGTATGTATACTGTATGTACACTGTATGTATATTATATATATATATACTTATGTATACTGTATGTATACTGTATGTATACTGTATGTATATTATATATATATACTTATGTATACTGTATGTATACTGTATATATACTGTATGTATACTGTATGTATATTATATATATATACTTATGTATACTGTATGTATACTGTACATCAGTGCAGCCAGAACAAACAGAAACACACATTTCCTGTCCCTGGTTTGGAACAAAGACATTTTAAACATTCTTTACGTTGCGTTGTGTCATGTGTGTAACTGAACCAAACTGTTTGTGCGACTAAACATGAGCAGACAAAGAAGAACGGGGCGTGTGCTGTTCGCTGAGGAGATAAGAGATGTAGAAGCACAGCTCCAGCCTGAAGCAGGAGAATACAGACATAATAAAGAATAGAAAGATAGAATCAGAGAATATCAAAGAATATATGATGTGATAAACTTTAAATGTGTGTTTACAGAGTTTTAGGGCGAGGTGTGTGTGTGTTTACAGTTTTAGGGCGAGGTGTGTGTGTGTTTACAGTTTTAGGGCGAGGTGTGTGTGTTTACAGTTTTAGGTCGAGGTGTGTGTGTGTTTACAGTTTTAGGGCGAGGTGTGTGTGTGTTTACAGTTTTAGGGCGAGGTGTGTGTGTGTCTGTTTGGATCATGATGTTCCAGTGTTGTCCAGTGCCATGCCCCGCCTTCTCTGCAGTCTGTCTCTCTCTCATTGACTTTCTGTCTTTCTCTGTCTCTCTCTCTCTGTGTGTCTCTCTCTTTCTCCCCCCTCTCCCACCCTCCCTCTCTCTCTGAACGTGCAGCAGCAGGTGGGGGGAGGGGTCTCTCCTGAACACAGTGACCCAGTTCCCCTTAAGTCAGTTACATCACTCCAACCACTGTGCAGTGAGCACTGCCCTCTCTCTCTCCTCTTCTCTCCCCTCTCTCTCCTCTCTCTCCTCTCTCTCCTCTTCTCTCCTCTCTCTCCTCTTCTCTCCCCTCTCTCTCCTCTCTCTCCTCTCTCTCCTCTTCTCTCCTCTCTCTCCTCTTCTCTCCCCTCTCTCATCTCTCTCTCCTCTCTCCCCTCTCCTCTCCTCTCTCTCCTCTTCTCTCCCCTCTCTCTCCTCTTCTCTCCTCTTCTCTCCCCTCTCTCCTCTTCTCTCTCCTCTTCTCTCCTCTCTCTCCTCTCTCTCCTCTTCTCTCCCCTCTCTCCTCTCTCTCCTCTTCTCTCCTCTCTCTCCTCTTCTCTCCCCTCTCTCCTCTTCTCTCCCCTCTCTCATCTCTCTCTCCTCTTCTCTCCCCTCTCTCCCCTCTCTCCTCTCTCTCCTCTCTCTCCTCTTCTCTCCCCTCTCTCCTCTCTCTCCTCTTCTCTCCCCTCGCTCTCCTCTTCTCTCCTCTTCTCTCCCCTCTCTCCTCTTCTCTCTCCTCTTCTCTCCTCTCTCTCCTCTCTCTCCTCTTCTCTCCCCTCTCTCCTCTCTCTCCTCTTCTCTCCTCTCTCTCCTCTTCTCTCCCCTCTCTCCTCTTCTCTCCCCTCTCTCATCTCTCTCTCCTCTTCTCTCCCTCTCTCCCCTCTCTCCTCTCTCTCCTCTCTCTCCTCTTCTCTCCCCTCTCTCCTCTCTCTCCTCTTCTCTCCCCTCTCTCCTCTCTCTCCTCTTCTCTCCCCTCTCTCATCTCTCTCTCCAGTCTCTCCAGTCTCTGAGTCCATTATGTCACAGGTATTCACGCTTGTGTAAGTGTTCTCTCGCAGGCCACTGGGTCACGAACTGTTCCGCATCCCATTCACAACTTCCCCCCGTGTCCGCAGACCCCACAGACCCCCACAGACCCCCTCAGACCCCACAGACCCCCTCAGAGCCCTCAGACCCCCGCAGACCCCCTCAGACCCCCGCAGACCCACTCAGAGCCCGCAGACCCACGCAGACCTCCGCAGACCCCCGCAGACCCCATCAGACCCCCTCAGGGACCGCCTCTCACCGCGGTCACTAGTGCTAATCCACTGCATTGTCTGCCAGAAGCAGAAATGTATTGTTTTCAAAATGGTGGTAAAATACACACATAGAGTAGAGTGTCTTTGGGCCAAAGTAATAGAATAACACACATTTTACCCGTTGGAAGTTTTTAATGGCACTGACAGCAACATTTATGGACGTTGGTCTCTGCTCCTTACGGACCAATGGCTCTAAGTGTTTTCTCGTGGCATTTCTTGTGTTTGAACTGTTTGATTCTCTGATCTGTGTTGGTGAATCAACAACTGTGTAAAGTTCTCTGAGGTTTTTAGGGCTATGCAAAAATAATTGAACTGAATCGAATTGAACTAAGCAATGAACGTGAACTGAACAGATCAATTGGAAATCCACCGGAAGAATGATTTTTCTGAAAAAGTTTCAGAATTTCACTCTGAACCAGAGCAGAGAAAATGGTCCGAACCGACCAGACTCAATACAAATACAGGCAAATGTACCTTTGGCAACAATTTTTACAATTTACAAAACATTGTGCGTATGAATTTACAATACATACAAATTGTTTTGGAAAAAGTATTTATTATCAGTGGACACAAAACCATAATAGTGTGATATTATTTTATAAAACTGATTCAGAATGAGTCCTGAGGCGACGCACTTGACCCAGCTCACCCCAGAACAGAGAGTGTAAAAGGAGTATTCTGAGGCAGGGGGCGCCATCACCAAATCAAGAACCATCTTACGGCAGACTTTAAATGGAACCTTTGCCTTCGCAGCAGGCGTTTGAGGAAGAACATGGAGTGAGTTGTTACAGGGACAGATTCCTGTCACTTCTCTCTGTGGACTGTGACCGAACCGTCTGACGCATTCTGAACAAAACAAACAAATGACTTTATGCTAAAATCGTCTCCAGTGACGTACAACAAAACGTGATTCTCAGACAAAGAGGCGTGAGTCGAGTACGACTACATTTCAACATTTCAACAGTGTTAATCTCAGCAGACTCCTCCACAGTCTCAGACTCTGACAGAGACCCTAACCCTGAGATGCTCTCACATACATTAGCCTTTTGGAGTCTTTAGGGAGAGGGGCCCTGGAGCCTTGAGTGCATCAGGGGAACCTGCAGCCTTGACATGCAGACAGAGTCTCTGATAAAACATGTTTAAAGTCTGAGGCTGAAACTGAAACACGGCGACCACATGAGGCGGTGTGTAGACAGCAGAGGTCTGCAGCTGCAGAACCTGAGAAACTGAACAGAGGAATGAAGATGTTTCTCGTGATGCAGAGAGGGCCACACCCTGAGGTCAGTCTCAGACCCAGAGCTTTGATGGAGTGGTCCGGTCTAAACATGGACCGTGGAGGAGCCTCACTACAGTAATCAGATTAGCTGCAGACACAGCTGAATAAATGACCTACATCAATGGAAGGCATTGACAGTGACTATCACAGACCCACCCCCACCCTGCTCTGTACCCTGCTCTGTACCCTGCTCTGTACCCTGCTCTGCACCCTGCTCTGTACCCTGCTCTGTACCCTGCTCTGTACCCTGCTCTGCACCCTGCTCTGTACCCTGCTCTGTACTCTACTCTGTACCCTGCTCTGTACCCTGCTCTGTACTCTACTCTGTACCCTGCTCTGTACTCTGCTCTGTACCCTACTCTGTACCCTGCTCTGTACCCTGCTCTGTACCCTGCTCTGTACCCTGCTCTGTACCCTACTCTGTACCCTGCTCTGTACCCTGCTCTGTACCCTGCTCTGTACCCTACTCTGTACCCTGCTCTGTACCCTGCTCTGTACCCTACTCTGTACCCTGCTCTGTACCCTGCTCTGTACTCTGCTCTGTACCCTGCTCTGTACTCTACTCTGTACCCTGCTCTGTACCCTGCTCTGTACTCTACTCTGTACCCTGCTCTGTACCCTGCTCTGTACTCTGCTCTGTACCCTGCTCTGTACTCTGCTCTGTACCCTGCTCTGTACCCTACTCTGTACCCTGCTCTGTACCCTGCTCTGTACCCTGCTCTGTACTCTGCTCTGTACCCTGCTCTGTACTCTACTCTGTACCCTGCTCTGTACTCTACTCTGTACCCTGCTCTGTACCCTGCTCTGTACTCTGCTCTGTACTCTACTCTGTACCCTGCTCTGTACTCTGCTCTGTAGGCTTCAGTCTCTGTGTACAGCGAGTCTCAGAGATTCTGCTGGAGGTGAATGTTCCCCTGCACCTCAGCTCTGAGGGTCCCACAGATCTGCCTTTATACCCCTGTTACCACTGTTACCACTGTTACCACTGTTACCCCTGTTACCCCTGTTACCACTGTTACCCCTGTTACCACTGTTACCCCTGTTACCCCTGTTACCACTGTTACCCCTGTTACTACTGTTACCACTCCCACCGCTGTTACCCCTGTTACCCCTGTTACCACTGTTACCACTGTTACCCCTGTTACCACTGTTACCACTGTTACCACTGGTACCACTGTTACCCCTGTTACTACTGTTACCACTCCCACCGCTGTTACCCCTGTTACCACTGTTACCACTGTTACTACTGTTACCACTGTTACCACTGTTACCCCTGTTACCACTGTTACCACTGTTACCACTGTTACCCCTGTTACCACTGTTACCACTGTTACCCCTGTTACCACTGTTACCCCTGTTACCCCTGTTACCCCTGTTACCCCTGTTACCCCTGTTACCACTGTTACCACTGTTACCCCTGTTACCACTGTTACCCCTGTTACCACTGTTACCCCTGTTACCACTGTTACCACTGTTACCACTGTTACCACTGTTACCACTGTTACCCCTGTTACCCCTGTTACCCCTGTTACCCCTGTTACCCCTGTTACCACTGTTACCCCTGTTACCCCTGTTACCCCTGTTACCCCTGTTACCCCTGTTACCCCTGTTACCACTGTTACCACTGTTACCCCTGTTACCACTGTTACCCCTGTTACCACTGTTACCCCTGTTACCACTGTTACCACTGTTACCCCTGTTACTACTGTTACCACTCCCACCGCTGTTACCCCTGTTACCCCTGTTACCACTGTTACCACTGTTACCCCTGTTACCACTGTTACCACTGTTACCACTGTTACCGCTGTTACCCCTGTTACCACTGTTACCACTGTTACTACTGTTACCACTGTTACCCCTGTTACCACTGTTACCACTGTTACCACTGTTACCACTGTTACCACTGTTACCCCTGTTACCCCTGTTACCACTGTTACCCCTGTTACCACTGTTACCCCTGTTACCCCTGTTACCACTGTTACCCCTGTTACTACTGTTACCACTCCCACCGCTGTTACCCCTGTTACCCCTGTTACCACTGTTACCACTGTTACCCCTGTTACCACTGTTACCACTGTTACCACTGGTACCACTGTTACCCCTGTTACTACTGTTACCACTCCCACCGCTGTTACCCCTGTTACCACTGTTACCACTGTTACTACTGTTACCACTGTTACCACTGTTACCCCTGTTACCACTGTTACCACTGTTACCACTGTTACCCCTGTTACCACTGTTACCACTGTTACCACTGTTACCACTGTTACCCCTGTTACCCCTGTTACCCCTGTTACCCCTGTTACCCCTGTTACCACTGTTACCACTGTTACCCCTGTTACCACTGTTACCCCTGTTACCACTGTTACCCCTGTTACCACTGTTACCACTGTTACCACTGTTACCACTGTTACCACTGTTACCCCTGTTACCCCTGTTACCCCTGTTACCCCTGTTACCCCTGTTACCCCCTGTTACCCCTGTTACCCCTGTTACCCCTGTTACCCCTGTTACCCCTGTTACCCCTGTTACCCCTGTTACCACTGTTACCACTGTTACCCCTGTTACCACTGTTACCCCTGTTACCACTGTTACCCCTGTTACCACTGTTACCCCTGTTACCCCTGTTACCACTGTTACCCCTGTTACTACTGTTACCACTCCCACCGCTGTTACCCCTGTTACCCCTGTTACCACTGTTACCACTGTTACCCCTGTTACCACTGTTACCACTGTTACCACTGTTACCGCTGTTACCCCTGTTACCACTGTTACCACTGTTACTACTGTTACCACTGTTACCCCTGTTACCACTGTTACCACTGTTACCACTGTTACCACTGTTACCACTGTTACCCCTGTTACCACTGTTACCACTGTTACCACTGTTACCACTGTTACCCCTGTTACCCCTGTTACCCCTGTTACCCCTGTTACCCCTGTTACCCCTGTTACCCCTGTTACCACTGTTACCCCTGTCCAAGAGCAGCTGAAGAGCACGTCGCCCTGTGGCCCCTAAGCCTCAGTGTGCTCTGTTCATGCCTGGCTGCTTCCTCAGAGAACATCAAGCTGCACATGCTTAGAACACAGTGTGCGAGAGTCTTTGGCTGAGTCTTTGGCTGAGTCTTTGGCTGAGTCTTTGGCTGAGTCTTTGGCTGAGCCGGGGCTGTGCAGGTAGACACTGACCTCTGTGTGCGGCCGGAGCTGGTGGCCCCGTCTCCAACACTAACCACACTGTGTGGGTTTGGCACATGCAGAGGACCACACGGAGCTGTGGCTCCCATCGTTTACCGATCGTTTTATTACCACATGTTTAAAGTCCAGAGAACCATGAACCACTCCATCTTTGAGCCGACGTCACTCAAGGACAGAATGTACCAGATCCATGTCCGTGCTTTAGGGACCCCGAGTCCAACACAAAAGAGTCCAGACAAAACCTCAAACCAACTGTAAACCTCTCTTTATGTTCTTTGTCTGAGAAATATTGCCGCTGTCCAGTTTGCTTTTGAAAAGCTGAAGTCATAATGAGCATTATGGGATTCACACAGATACAGTTAGTTTAATCTATGTTTTATATGAAACGCAGTCGATGTGAAGAAGTTTTGCTTTTAGTTTCAGAACCCTGTTTTATAACAACATTAAACACATGATGTGAGCCACAGCTCAGGAGCAGACAAAGGCTTTGCTCCAACCACAGTCCCGCCCATAAACCTCACGTCTGGACCGACACGTTCCTGATGCACAACCACAACTTCAGATTATTTCACATTTCACAGAAGCAACAAAAGCAGATCATCAGGATCATCAAAGATGTATCAACGTCTCTGAAAGTCTCTAAAGTCTCTGAAAGTCTCTAAAGTCTCTGAAAGTCTCTGAAAGTCAAAGAGTCTCGTGTGAAGTCCCTCACTCTTTCACAGATAAAAGCAACTTAGATTTAAAAGGAAAACTCAACCACAGATAAACTCGAACAGATTCATTCCTGTCTGAGATTCAAACTGATAAGAAAGTCGTTTGTTTGTGTGTTTAAGTAATTGTCTGTAAAACAACCGGTCTTTCTTGTCGCTGCTGGAAATTCACTGCTTCAAAGTCACGAAGATCATTTTCATATGAGCCTGAACTCAGTGGTTTTTGGATTGCTCTAAATTCAGGATTTTAACCTCTTAAAAATAGACTTGGTCACTTCAAATTACCTCCATTTACCTATTTAAGTCCCACAGTGGGGAAATGCCAGTGTTGCATCACCAGGTACAGAATAGTATAAGGAGAAGACAGCACCTGCTGGGACTCTGAGGAGCACAGGGACTGGCCTCCTGCTGGGACTCTGAGGAGCACAGGGACTGGCCTCCTGCTGAGACTCTGAGGAGCACAGGGACTGGCCTCCTGCTGGTCCCAGAGTCAGGACTAAACATGCAGAAGCAGCATTTCAGATTTATGCTTACTAAAATCTGGAACAGTCTTCCTGAAAATGTGAGACAGGCTTCTTCTCTTACAATGTTCAAATCCAAGTTTTAACAAGATTTTATCTTTATTATTTATGAGATATTTATGATTTTAAAGCCTTGTGTGACTTTGACTCGCCTTGTGTATGAACTGTGCCATACAATAAACCTCCCCATGCCTTGATTTAATCCTGTTTAAATCCACCAATCAAATGTGACATTTCCTCATTCTCCTGCTCCTCTCTCACCCTCACAACGGCCTTATTTTTCACTCAGAAAATGCAGATATTAACGATAAAAAACACTTTCTTTCAGCTCAAGGTTACTCTCCCTCCTCTCTCTCCTCACCGCAGCCTCAATCTTCACACACACGGAAGCAATTCGAACAACACACACTAAAAACGCATAGATTTTCAAAGCAGTAACCGCCATTCGTCCACAAATCCCACAGAAACGCCATAAATATTGACAGAGAGCTGGGCATTGGCTGGGTCATGTGAGGACACTGTACTTTTGGGAAGGCGGCTCGGCGATCGGTTCTCTCTGCGATCGACTAGTAAGGCCTGGGAGGCAGCAAACACACACACACACACACACACACACACACACACGGGGTCTGGGCTGGAGATGCTGCAAGGTTGGCTGGCACTGAGCGTCTGAACTTGAATGACCGAGAATTTTTTTCACACCAGAGCAAGAGACAAAAGGTTGTAGAAGAAGAAGAAGAAGAAGAAGAAGTCATGGTAGTGGGAGGCTTGTGTGTGTGCGTGTGTGTGTGTGTGTGTGTGTGTGTGTGTGTGTGTGTGTGGAGGGGTGTAGAGAGATAGAGAGGGGTGTGGAAGGGATGGGAAAGAGCTTGCTTCACATTTGGCAAGGCCTTTTTTCTTTTTTTTTATCAAGATGACTAACACTGAGACCAATGGGATCGGTACAGTGTGTCCTCGACTGAAAATACAGATCCACGACCACAAAGGCTTTGACAGAAGAGGAACCTGAGCTCGCTGCACGGACAAAACACCGGTCTGAGGGGTCTAACTGGACGGATAGTTCATGGTTCAAAGGCAGATTCTTTAAATGACAGTAACAGAAACAGTCTTATCTCAGCCAAATATAATTACATATATTTTAAAGGTAGACACCAGATAGATAGAGACATTGATAGATATATAGATTGATACATATATATAGATAGAGATTCTTCCATTAGCAGTATTGTGTTGCCTTTTGCCAGCTATATATGGTCATATGACACTATTTTTAACCACCATATATATATATAGAAAGGCCTGGTTTATCTACTGTACTGACCATCTGCTGGAGGCACAGACACATTTCACTGCATATAAAGTGTATGTGGCAATAATAATAAACTAACAAACTGAGATGGATTGGTCGATACATAGATATTCACGATACAATAATAAAATCTGGCTGTGTTTGCATGTGAATTCCATCTATCTCTGTTCTGCCATCCAAATATTTAGTTTTGCAATGATACACACACAACATCATGTACCTGAAATATGTCATGTAGTGAAGAATACATTGCTGCTGCTTTACTTTGGATTTAGAGCCTTTCACTCGTCCTGTCTAATTAGATCACGCCTCTATCAATTAATAATGGCTATTAATATTCATGCAGAATGGGATGGGCACCTATGATCCAGCGGTGCACAGATGTGGAACCCTCAAATACAGTTTCATGCAACCTCCCCTTGACATTTCCACATGTGCAGCTGTTGCATTGTCGCTTTTGCTTTTTTTGTTCCTCTTCCGCCCTGGCCTGGAATAACCCTGAGTTGGCAGACCAGGGTGTGTTGCCTGGTGGAGGGGGAACCTGCAGGAGAAAAAGCCAGTGCGTCGTGGCTCTGCTAGCTCAGTCTGTTGCTGGCCAGATCAGCTGGCAGTGTGCTCAACGCGCGGGGGTGTGGCACATCAAAACAAAGGGCTGTGGGCAAGAGAGCCACCACTTCATCCAACCCCGACACTGCCCCCTGCATCCTCCAAACCCCTCTCCATCCGCAGCAGAGGAATGCGCACAGATACAAATACAGAGAATAAGACTAAAGGCAAAGGATGTCTCTGTCATAGACCTGCTGTGACTGTAGCTCTCTCCAATGCAGACGTAAACATGTGAGAAGACAGGAAATATAGACACGCACACGCACTGCTGCAGCCTGTCCCCACAGCGAGATACGTGCACGTTGGGGGTTGCGTGTGGTTAACGCCCCGACAAAGCTCGATCCGAGTGGGAGTGGCACTTATTTCCCCCGCTCGGCCTCCCTTCCCCTAGATTAACGCACATTTCTTAAAAAAAAAAAAAAAAAAAAAAAAAAGTTTGAGAGACTTATAAAGAAAGCAGTGCGTGTGGGGGCGGTGTGGAGCACGGTTCTGGCTTAGTTTTGGATATCCTCAGTTGACCACCCACCCCCCCCCCCGCCCCCCCTCCCCGCCTCTCCCCAAAACAGGAGACTTCATGACAGTTTTGCACTTTAGTAAATACACCTTGAACGCGTCTCAAACACACGCATTACGCACAGAAGTGATTACGTGCACTGACCTGTGTGTGTCCTTAGGTGGGCTTTGAGATGAGAGGATTTGCCATAAACTTTTTCGCAGCCTGAATAGTGGCATTTGTGCTTTTTCTGTGGAGGTTCGTGCTCACTGCGCCCTCGGTTCCTTTTGCCTCTTTGTTTGAGCGCGGGGTCTGAGATGGTGGTAGGTGTGGCACAGTTTCCATCCTCCTCATCATCATCTCTGAGGTTCGTGTTGTCATCCTTTACTATTTTAGCCTGCTCGATAGCCACAGTGTTAGTGGGAGTCTGCTGTTGGTTGAAATCTGCCAGAATTCTCGCCACGACAAAAAGAGAAGAAGAGTTTTCTTTCACCACCAGAGGTTCTTTGAGGTCCTCCCCGGGTCTGGGCGCGCACGGGGGCTCGGGTTTACTCTCCCGGTTCCCTTTAGGAGCGTGGACGACTGCGCGGTGGGACATGGAGACAAGGCACTCCGCTGCAAAGTGATCCATTCTGTCTTTAAAGCAGCCCCTCCCGCTTCTTGCTGACATTCAGGATGGAGGCGACAGTTGTGGCAGTTCTGGAAAAGTAGTTTGTGTTCTCCGTGGTTCCCTTTGTGCAGCTGAAGGAGGAGGTGGTTCTCATCTGAGTTTATGATCTTACCCACCGGCCTCCAGAATCACCCACATCCTGTGAGAGAAACGCCTCTTGCACAGACTCGCGCGTAATCTCCCCTTTTACGCAGACGGTAAAAGCAAAACAAAAACAATTCTTCTTCTCCTTATTCCACAACGACGTGTTCCTGCGTGTGTTCTCCCCGCTCAGATGATGTCTGAACTCCCATCGCGGCTTCCTCCACTCTCACGGACCAGCGCGTCTCTGGAGCGCCTGTCCCTGTGCTCTGTACCCATGCTGGGGGCGTGTCACTCTGCCGCCGGTGCGCAACGTCACAGCTCGGTTTGTTCATTGGTGCATCGTGTCCTCAAATGCACCCCCTCTTCCACACTATAAAGACTCTTGAAAAGTTTCCCCGCAGGTTTCCACAGTCTATGGTCGCACCGTGCATTCAGATTCAGCGGTAAAAACACACACACACGCGGCGGAGAGCGACGTTCAGAGCCCGGAGTGGCGCTGCCCGCTGCGGAGAACACTCTGTACTTTGGCTCATTCTGAAGTGCGCCACTGAAACTGGCTCGCTTTGGGACAAATGTCTGGCACAAAAGAGCAGCGCAGCCTCCCTCGCGTCTCCCTTACGTCTCTCTCCTTTCTGTCTCACGTCTCTCTCCTTTCTGTCTCACGTCTCTCTTTTCTCCTTCACGTCTCTCTCCTTTCTGCCTCACGTCTCTCTCTTTTCTCCTTCACGTCTCTCTTTTCTCCTTCACGTCTCTCTTTTCTCCTTCACGTCTCTCTTTTCTCCTTCACGTCTCTCTTTTCTCCCTCACGTCTCTCTCTTTTCTCCTTCAAGTCTCTCTCTTTTCTCCTTCACGTCTCTCTTTTCTCCCTCACGTCTCTCTCTTTTCTCCTTCACGTCTCTCTCTTTTCTCCCTCACGTCTCTCTTTTCTCCCTCACGTCTCTCTTTTCTCCCTCACGTCTCTCTTTTCACCCTCACGTCTCTCTTTTCTCCCTCACGTCTCTCTTTTCTCCTTCACGTCTCTCTTTTCTCCCTCACGTCTCTCTTTTCTCCCTCACGTCTCTCTCTTTTCTCCTTCACGTCTCTCTCTTTTCTCCCTCACGTCTCTCTTTTCTCCCTCACGTCTCTCTTTTCTCCCTCACGTCTCTCTTTTCTCCTTCACGTCTCTCTTTTCTCCTTCACGTCTCTCTTTTCTCCTTCACGTCTCTCTTTTCTCCTTCACGTCTCTCTTTTCTCCTTCACGTTTCTCTTTTCTCCCTCACGTCTCTCTTTTCTCCTTCACGTCTCTCTTTTCTCCCTCACGTCTCTCTCTTTTCTGCTTCACGTCTCTCTCTTTTCTGCTTCACGTCTCCCTCACGTTTCTCTGTTTTCTCTCACGTCTCTCTGTTTTTCCATTAACGTCTCCTTTTCTCTCTCAAGTTTCTCTCCAAGTCTTTCTTTTCTCCCTCACGTCTCTCTCTTTTCTCCCTCACGTCTCTCTCTTTTGTCCCTGACCTCTCCCTCACGTCGTCCTCACGTCAGGACGCAGACACCTGTTGCTGTGAGGACAGACAGTTCTTTTGGAGCCAGTGACGCGTCCACATTCACACCAACAAAGCAGATGACCTGAAATGACCCGAGCCTAAAAGTGCTGCACGAGCCTTCCGGAAGTCCCTCCCACAGCCCCTGACGTCACACGCTCAAACATGCATTTATTAATATTTATGTGGAATATTTGTGAATACCGTCTGTGCCTGTGCCCACGTGGGGGGTCTGAGGACAAGGCGGAAGGAAGACATTTTATTTTGAAAGAAGTGGGTCGGAGACAGAGCAGCGTCTCAGACTGATGCAGAGTTAAAACTATAGACTCACGTCATCACGCTGCAAAAGCCGTAGTTTGTGTAATTGTGCTGAAAGATTTTCATTTTATTTTTATTTCCAGAGGAGTCATAAAACAAACTCAAAGAACCGGGTGCAGGGAATGAGACATATCATTCCCTGCTGTTCCTCTGATATGTCAGCGACCGCGCCGGCACAAAGCGCCACTGAGCACAACCATTCATTTGAATACGGCGCCATCTTGGATCGCCGGGACTTGAGATAAATACGCAACAGAAACACTAAAATGAATAAATAATAATGTTGAATTGAATATTTAAGATTAAGAGATGCTTTTATTGGTCCTACAGCGGGGAAATGTCAGTGTTGAATCAGTTACAGAACAGTAGGACTGAGGGGTTCAGACACGGCACAAGATAGATGAGGTAAGTAAAGGTATGAGGTATGGTGAAAAATAAGTATTTGGTCAATAACAAAAATTCAACTCAATACTTTGTAATATAACCTTTGTTGTCAATAACAGACCTATAGTAACGATTACTATAGGTCTTTACCAGGTTTGCACACACAGTATCTGGTATTTTGGCCCATTCCTCCATGCAGATCTTCTCGAGAGCAGTGAACACAGACGTTCAACTCCCTCCACAGAATTTCAATGGGGTTGAGATCTGGAGACTGGCGAGGCCACTCCAGGACTTTCAAATGCTTCTTACGGAGCCACTCCTTCGTTGCCCGGGCGGTGTGTTTGGGATCATTGTCATGCTGGAAGACCCAGCCACGTTTCATCTTCAAAGCTCTCACTGATGGAAGGAGGTTTTGGCTCAAAATCTCACGATACATGGCCCCATTCATTCTTTCCTTAACACGGATCAGTCGTCCTGTCCCCTTAGCAGAAAAACAGCCCCAAAGCATGACGTTTCCACCCCCATGCTTCACAGTAGGTATGGTGTTCTTGGGATGCAACTCAGTCTTCTTCTTCCTCCAAACACAACGAGTTGAGTTTATACCAAACAGTTGTACTTTGGTTTCATCTGACCACATGACATTCTCCCAATCCTCTGCTGTATCATCCATGTGCTCTCTGGCAAACTTCAGACGGGCCTGGACATGCACTGGCTTCAGCAGGGGGACACGTCTGGCACTGCAGGATTTGATTCCCTGTCGTCGTAGTGTGTTACTGATGGTAACCTTTGTTACTTTGGTCCCAGCTCTCTGCAGGTCATTCACCAGGTCCCCCCGTGTGGTTCTGGGATATTTGATCACCGTTCTCATGATCATTTTGACCCCACAGGATGAGATCTTGCGATTGAGGGAGATTATCAGTGGCCTTGTATGTCTTCCATTTTCTGATAATTGCTCCCACAGTTGATTTGTTCACACCAAGCTGCTTGCCTATTGTAGATTCACTCTTCCCAGTCTGGTGCAGGTCTACAGTTCTTTTCCTGGTGTCCTTGGACAGCTCTTTGGTCTTGGCCATAGTGGAGTTTGGAGTCTGACTGTCTTTTATACAGATGAGTTCAAACAGGTGCCATTAATACAGGTAACGAGTGGAGGACAGAAGAGCTTCTTAAAGTTACAGGTCTGTGAGAGCCAGAGATCTTCCTTGTTTGAAGTGACCAAATACTTATTTTCCACCATAATTTACAAATAAATTATTTAAAAATCCTACTATGTGAATTCCTGGATTTTTTTTCACATTCTGTCTCTCACAGTTGAAGTGAACCTATGATGAACATTACAGACCTCTGTCATTAATTTAAGTGGGAGAACTTCCACAATCGGTGGCTGACTAAATACTTTTTTGCCCCACTGTATATAGCGCATTTTACAGATCAAGATATTGTTCCATTCTCTCCACACGTTGAAGATGGAAGTGAGACCCCGAAAACACTGGTCCATCAAAGCCTCCGACCAAACACCATCCACTCACCTGTCACATTCAGACCTATTGTACGTGTTTTTAGTCCTAGGGGACACCGGAGCACCCGGAGGAAACCTACGCAGACACAGGACCGGTTCAGAAGACTCAGTCTTCAGGGTTCAGACTCGGTCCTCAGGGTTCAGACTCAGTCCTCAGGGTTCAGGACACATCAGACTCGGTCCTCAGGGTTCAGACTCGGTCCTCAGGGTTCAGGAGACTCGGTCCTCAGGGTTCAGGAGACTCGGTCCTCAGGGTTCAGGAGACTCGGTCCTCAGGGTTCAGGAGACTCGGTCCTCAGGGTTCAGGAGACTCGGCCCTCAGGGTTCAGGAGACTCGGTCCTCAGGGTTCAGACTCGGTCCTCAGGGTTCAGACTCGGTCCTCAGGGTTCAGACTCGGTCCTCAGGGTTCAGACTCGGTCCTCAGGGTTCAGACTCGGTCCTCAGGGTTCAGACTCGGTCCCCAGGGTTCAGACTCGGTCCTCAGGGTTCAGACTCGGTCCTCAGGGTTCAGACTCGGTCCTCAGGGTTCAGACTCGGTCCTCAGGGTTTAGACTCGGTCCTCAGGGTTCAGACTCGGTCCTCAGGGTTTACACTCGGTCCCCAGGGTTCAGACTCGGTCCTCAGGGTTTAGACTCGGTCCTCAGGGTTCAGACTCGGAGTCTCCCGTTCAAATGAATGGAGCTCTCGCCGGCTGACGCATGCGCAGATGCGTTTTTTCACAATTTTCTTGTGGGCGGGACCACTCGCGGCCATTTTGGATAGCTCCAGTAGAACATTATTTTTGGCCCAATACTTAGAACGGGGGAGATAGGCGTGACTACGTCCATTATTTTTTACAGTCTATGGTTCTAACATAACGATGCATCGTATGTGGAAAATGAATGAGACATCGTTCCGGAGAATGTGAGCTAAGTTATGACACTTTTATAAGTAAGTAAACTTTAATTATATAGCGCCTTTCACAGACCAGAGTCACAAAGCGATTTCTAACTGTCTCTCTCTCCACACATAGGAGCGAGTTCGTCATACAGGAGGCACATGCCAGACCTGTTGTGCATGTTTTTAGTGGTAGGGGAAACCGGAGTACCCGGAGGAAACCTGTAGACACAGGTAGAACATGCAAACTCCACTCAGAAATTTAATATGATCTATGGGAAACTCTCAAAGATCTATGGGAAACTCTCAAAGAACTATGGGAAACTCTCCTGTATTTGGGCATCGTCTGGTCCTCCCGGTTCTGTGCAGTGGATGATCTCCCATAATGCATTGCGCCAAACACGCGTGTGTGGGTCTCACACCGGGTCTCACGCACGTGCACAGAGGGGCTCGGCCGCGCTCTGACCAATCAGAGCAGTTCATCAGAGCGGGATGAAGTTAATATAATAGATCCATGGTCTGGTCCCTGTGTTTGAGATTACAATCGGTTCAATTCCATCCGACCAATCATAGAGCGCGGGAGGCGGGTGTTGTAGTTAGATGTGGGTGACGTCAAGAGTTTGCGCCGAACGGGCAGGTTGTAGTTTGGCGAAGATTGTGATAGTAAAGTATTCTGCTCTGGTTCTATCAAGAAACTGAAGCCGGAGCAAGAGGAATGTTTAGCAAATGTAATTGCTGCAAAGATTGTGGCGCTGCTCCCCACGGGCTCCGTTAGCGGCAAAGGAGATGGCTAAAGCTAAATGCTAAAGCTAGGCTAAATGCTAAAGCTAGGCTAAATGCCTCACTTTGGCTCATTACATACGTCACAGTAAACTCAGATCCAATGGCAAAAAAACTTGCCATCAAAAAAATAAGCATAATTTTTAGCAAATAATCTTACCGAGCTTTCACTTTTTTCAGTGTACGCAGTTGCCTTGGCTATGACCTGTGCTAAACAAATAAACTTCCTAATTGTGATAAAGATAAGATAACAAAGGTCTCTGCGTTCAGACCTTTGTGGCTGATGTGTCAGAAAAGCTCATAAACAGTTATCACACATTAACCCCGTCCTCTCGGCCTCAGAACGAAACTGATCCATATCTTTATCCAGAACCAGGAGTCATAAAGCTCTGAGGTGTGGGCTCCTGCCGCAAACGTCACGCTACATCTGCAAGAGCCACGGGTCTGCACCGAGCCACGGGTCTGCACCGAGCCACGGGTCTGCACCAAGCCACGGGTCTGCACCGAGCCACGGGTCTGCACCGAGCCACGGGTCTGCACCGAGCCACGGGTCTGCACCGAGCCACGGGTCTGCACCGAGCCACGGGTCTGCACCGAGCCACGGGTCTGCACCGAGGAGACAAGAAAATAGGAAGAAATAAAAGCTTGAATCGAGTCGTCACTGTAAACCCTAACTTCAATCCTACTTCAGATATCAAAGTTATTTTAAATAGATTTTTCCCAGTAAGGCAAGGCAAGTTTATTTATATAGCACAATTCATACACAAGGCAACTCAAAGTGCTGAACAAAACAAGAAAGCATTAAAATCATAAATAATCACAGAACATTAAAAAGAAAGATACAAATATAAAATCCCTCAGTTGTAGCACAGCTAAACAGAACTGTCTTTAACCTGGTTTTAAACATTGTCAGAGAGGAGGCCTGTCTCACATCTTCAGGAAGACTGTTCCAGATTTTAGCAGCATGAATCTGAAAAGCAGCCTCCCCATGTTTAGTCCTGACTCTGGGCACTAACAGGAGGCCAGTCCCTGTGCTCCTCAGACTCCCAGCAGGAGGCCAGTCCCTGTGCTCCTCAGAGTCCCAGCAGGAGTCCAGTCCCTGTGCTCCTCAGAGTCCCAGCAGGAGTCCAGTCCCTGTGCTCCTCAGAGTCCCAGCAGGAGGCCAGTCCCTGTGCTCCTCAGAGTCCCAGCAGGAGTCCAGTCCCTGTGCTCCTCAGAGTCCCAGCAGGAGTCCAGTCCCTGTGCTCCTCAGAGTCCCAGCAGGAGTCCAGTCCCTGTGCTCCTCAGAGTCCCAGCAGGAGTCCAGTCCCTGTGCTCCTCAGAGTCCGGGCTGGTTCATATGGGACTAACATGTCACTAATATATTTTGGTGCGAGGCCATGGAGAGACTTGTAACAAGCAGAGCTGTTTTAAAGTCTATTCTCTGAGCCACAGGAAGCCAGTGCAGAGACCTGAGGACTGGACTAATGTGGTCGTACTTCCTGGTTCTAGTCAGGACTAATATGGTCGTACTTCCCAGTAAGTAGATATTACTCATTTATTGTTAGTTTATTTAAAGCCTATGTCACTCAGGGTTTTCTTTGAATTGAACTTTTTCTTTTCAAGTAAGCCTCACTTTTGACATTTTGACGTGTAGAGTCTTTAATGAGGCAGGTGTGACAGTGGCAGGGTGTCCTGGTGGCTGAGTGGTTAGCACCATCCCACAATCCCAGTCGGAGCATAAGTAGAAATTTAAACTTTATCGCAATCACTAGAGTTTACTTGGTAATATCAAGTAAAAGATGTACTCGAGTAATTCAAGTGAAGTTAATACGCAATTTATTTCCATGGTTTTTTCAAGTAAACTTTACTTGTCAGGGTTTACAGTGCGACACATTCCGCCTTAAAACTAGATTGGGACAAAACCCTTTAGTCTAAAAACTGTTACGTAAAGTGGTCATACCTGCAGGTGAAAGCTAGATCCTGTCAGACCACTGGAGCTAAGCAGGGCAGGGTCTGGTTAGTGCTGTGATGGGAGACCTCTAGGAGCAGCAGTGGGGCGGCTGCGGCTGTAAAGTGCCAAAGTGTGGTTGTGTCCTTAGGCAAGACACTTCCCCCACATTAGAATGAGTCTGGTGTGTGTGTGAATGGTTGGTGGTGGTGGTGGGGGGAGGGGCCGATGGCACAGACTGGTTACCTCGCTTCTGTCAGTGTGCCCCAGGGCAGCTGCGGCTACAGTAGCAGTTTATCACCACCGTGTTTGGAGAGAATGAAAAACTAAATGGGAAGCGTCTTTGGGCATCAAAAAAAGCACTGTAAAAAACTTATGCATCATTTTTATTATTATTATTTCAAGAACTGTTTTATTTTCTCAGTCGAAGGGAAACATTTCTTGCGTCTTTAAAAAAAACATTGAAAGATATAATTTTAAGGCTCAGTCAGAATGCACTCAAATCCAGACACTTTTTGCCAAATTTGAGCAATTCTCAAAGACTTATTTTTCCTCACTTTTTGCAGTGTTCTGGGGACACATGGCACACGTCACCATTCATCTAAATCCATTTAACAGATGACATTTTTATACTGTTGTTTCTTTACAAAGAGGCTGCTGTCGTCAGTCAATGACTAACGCTAACAAAACAAAGCCGGAGTTCCACCTGTTTGAGGATCCATTAGTCATCACAGAGTCCACCATCACAAACAAACTCATATTAATTTAACCAAACTGTCCTTATTTCCCTTTTTTGTTACCGTAAAAAACTGGCTTCTTTAGCAAAACCTTTCCTCAAATTAACTTCCTGTAGCAACTTCATAGATAACAGAGAAATAAGTAGTGTGCTGTAACTTATCTGGAGAGTTAGCTTTAGCATAATAAAGAAGCTAGTATAAAATCTCTAGCTTTAGCATAATAAAGAAGCTAGTATAAAATCTCTAGCTTTAGCATAAGAAAGAAGCTAGTATAAAATCTCTAACTTTAGCATAAGAAAGAAGCTAGTATAAAATCTCTAACTTTAGCATAATAAAGAAGCTAGTCTAAAATCTCTAACTTTAGCATAATAAAGAAGCTAGTCTAAAATCTCTAACTTTAGCATAATAAAGAAGCTAGTCTAAAATCTCTAACTTTAGCATAATAAAGAAGCTAGTCTAAAATCTCTAGCCAAAGGGGACACAAGATTAGACCGATGTGAGTAAATAAAAGCACACTGCAAAAAAAGATTAAAAAAAAATTGCTTGAATGTGTAGACTTCATTTAAACCATTTAGTTTAAGAACTGTTGCTTCATTTTCTCATTCCAAGTAAACACATTTCTTGTATCTTTTTGCTTTGTCCCGATGGCAAACCTTGAGTCAAAATATGCTCAAAAATTAAGATGCATTTTGCCCAATTTTAGCCATTTTTAACTTATTTTTCCCCACTCTTTTTTTGCAGTGCAGGAGAATCTGTCGCTGTAGTTGGACCTAAAACAGAAGCGGAGTTGGACGGTGAGCTGCTTCTGTAACGCGGGTCAATGAGTCACGAGCCACGGACCGTAAACAAGTCCAAACTACATGTTGTTGTAGCGGGAGGAGGAACAGGATCTTCCAGTCAGAGATCCAGAGATACCAGGAGATACCAGGAGAAACCAGGAGATACCAGAACTGCACATGTATCGATGGGATAAATATTTGTTCTGTCATCTGCTGCTTTAACACTAGGATGTAACTGTATCCATGATTTTAAATATTTACTCTTTAAACCGAGTGTTTACCGTTTGATATCCGAAACCTTTGAGTCTGTGTCACTGCCACGCTGCAAAAAGAGAGAAAAATAAGTCAAAAATGGCTCAAAATTAGCAAAAATGTGTCTTTCTTTGTGCACATTTTGACTGACTTTTATTGTTTTTGATTATGATTCTCTATTGACCTGTCGCTGGTGTTACATTAAAGCTCCATCCATCCATCCATTTTCTACCCTTTAATCCATTTCTGGGTCAGGGGGGTGGCAGTCAGAGATGCCACCCAAGTCTCATAGCACCAGCCCCTCACTGACCCTCTGCAGGTGGTGAGTCCACAGGAGGCTGCTCTCTGAGTGTGAGCATAGCCTTGATCTTTCAGTGGGGGCTTTGGGCAAAGTGGGGTTAAGTGTCTTGCCCAAGGACACAACGACAGCAGTCATCAGTGGGAGTCGGTGGAGAAGGTGCAGAGGTGGGAATTGAACCCACGACCTTCTGGCCTTAAGGCCAATGCTCTACCAACTGAGCTACTGTCGCCCTACACCCCTACAATCATTAAAGCTGATTTTTGTTAAATATGTATTATGAGGAGGATTAAATAAGTTTTCTTCTTCCAACTCCCTTTCAGGCAAGTATTTTGTTTTTTTATTTTTCCTCTTATGCATGTTAGCAATACTTTATTTATTTATTTTTTGTGAAATGACTGAAATTAATTAATAAACAAAAAAAAAACTGGATTTCCACTGTAACATTTGTATTTTTGATGGTGTTATAGCCTCTGAACCCCAAACTCCACCAGTCACCAAATTAATGTTATCCTGGTCTTACCATGTGTAAACTCTGGTCCATGATCATTTCCTACATGTACGTCTGGTCTTACCATGTGTAAACTCTGGTCCATGGTCATTTCCTACATGTACGTCTGGGTCTGATCCTAGTGGCTGCAGTTTCCTCGGTTGAATCTCCTCCGACCAATCAGAGAGCGGGGGAGGCGGGTGTTGTAGGTCGGTGTCGGTGACGTCAAGAGTTTGCGCAGATTTTGCTGGTTTTAGTTTGGCAGCAAAGACGATAGTAAAATAATCTGTTCTGGTTCAATCCAAATATCAAGAAACTGAAGCCGGAGCAAGAGGAATGTTGCCTTTGTCTCTTCCAGGCTGGATTTCTGCAACGCCCTCCTCGTCGGGATCCCGGCAAAAAGCCTTCAAAAGCTTCAGCATATCCAAAATACAGCTGCCAGGATCCTGCCGAGGACGCCGAAGCACCAGCACATCACCCCAGTCCTCCGCGATCTTCACCGGCTTCCACTCATCCAACGCTTCCAATACTAAATCTACCTCCTCACCTACCGATGCATCCACGGACATGCCCCGGACTATCTCACAGAACTTCTCACTCCTCCGCCCATAACCAGAGCACTCCGGTCCACAGACACCAACCTCCTCTCCATCCCCACAACTAAATTCCGGACAATGGGCGACAGGCAGGCCCGGACTGGCCATCGGGAGCATCGGGAGATCTCCCGGTGGCCTGCGTGTCAAAGTGGCCTGGGCCTGCCCTATCATCACGGTCTTTTTATTTTTTTTATTTTTTTTTATTTCATCCTAACGGTCTTTGCAAACTCCTACCCTGCCTGGTGGCCTGGTCCAATGAGCGAGGCCCAGGCCAAAGCTTTACTGTCATTGGGCCAGAGCAAAATTAAACAAATGTGACGTCACACGTCGGCTACACAGCCAGGCCAGCCCAGCAGTGCACCCAGTGTAGCTTCCCCAGCCCAGCAGTGCACCCAGTGTAGCTTCCCCAGCCCAGCAGTGCACCCAGTGTAGCTTCCCCGGTTGAAATGAGTGGTCTCTCCAACTGATGGTTCATACACGTTTTTATTTTTCCTTTTATATGAGCTGTAACGATGTGATTTTACCTTACTACTTTTTTAACAATAATTGATTAGCTTGTTATAGTTATACACTAATGAACACTTAGTTCATTGTGTGTGTGTGTGTGTGTGTCTTTATTCTCACTAAACTCCATAAACATTACATTGCTAAGCAACGTACAACAATCCTTAAACGTCCGAGATTATATAAACAGTCAATATAAAAAAAAAAAAAAGAAAACAAAAGTTTTGACAGTCAATCTTAAAACTATTAAAAGAACATCAAAATACAATGACAAAAACACAAATTTAGAACCTTGTTCCCTATCAACCTGGCGCTAGAGTTCACCGTAAGCAACCTTCATTTTCCGTTTGAACAGTAGCTTACAGAACGTCCTTTTAGTGTAGCTGCGGTTACTTTTGTAACAGTTCTAACGTTTAAACGTTAAAAACATTTTTAGCTGAATCACCACACAGAAGAAATAGTAACAAGGTAATTTACACCCAGTAGCCTATGCTATCATGGAGTCGGAAAAAAAGAGGAAAGGTGGCGCAGAAAGGGAGAAAATGAGAAAAAAGAAGGCGCTGGACGAGGATGCGGCAAAGTATTATAAACTCACGGATATGTTTTCAAGAAGCGAGTTGTCAGGTAGGCTACTATATGCACAGGAGCTAAATGAACACACAAAGGTATCCCGATTATGCTCTCTCTATTACGTGACGGTTCTATTGCTCAAGTTTGGCGTTTGTGTTTGTGGTGGTTTGAAGGTGAGACCAGTGCGGCGGCTGCTGCTACAGAGGGACACCCACAATCGAGTGAAGGCAAATGGGCTTCAGGTATTTAGAAACAATCAGACTACCTGTAAAATGTTCCAAATTGGTTGATGAAAGTGAGATTTGCAGCAGGTGTTCACTAATGGCTAATGATACAATTGTTAGTAGAAATGCTAATTGCAGTTATAGTAGGTAAAGCAAAGAAGCACAGGGTGGTTATTCTCATTTCATTGACATTTTAAAATGCATTGAGGATTTAAAAAAAATATAGCTCATCACCAAATAAAAAAATAAAAACACATAACCTAAAATAATTGCTTTGTGATTGACTGTACTGAATTATTTATTATTTTACCAAGATCCCCATTAGCTGCTACACCTGGTAGCAGCTACTCTTTCTCGGGTCCATTAAAGATGTCATGAAATTAACAGCATCAAAATAAAAAATAATCATAATGATATAATAATAATACTAAACCACTACCCTTTACATAAATCAAAGACCCATAAAGCTTAAGGGAATACTACAGTGATTACTTATGATCAAAGTGTAGATGAGATACTTTCATTTGGGAATTTAAATCAATTGTGCATCGGAAATAGAATGGCTCACTCAGTTTATTGGAGTAAAGAGTAAATGACAGTTTAATTCTCACCCAGTAAGAGTGGAGAGTGGAGGGAGGGGGGTGGCCTGAATGGATGAAAAGCTCCCGGCCTGAAATGTTGTCCCACTCCGGCCCTGGCGACAGGGCTTTCCAGGCGGCTGCTCCCAAACTGTGGAACGCCCTACCACCACACCTGAGGACTTAAAACTTTTCTGTTCCCTTCTTAACATTGTTTTAACATTGTTTTAACTTTAATGATGTGTGCTTTTATTGTTGTTGTTCTGTAGCACTTTGAGATTTGTATGTAAAGTGCATTACAAATTAAAGGTATTATTATTATTATTCTTATTATTCTTATTATTATTATTATTATTATTAGTAAATGTGATTGAAGCAAAGGTGTTGTGGCTCTACTCCCCACAGGCTCCGTTAGTGGAAAAGGAGATGGCTAAAGCTAGGCTACATGCTAAAGCTAGGTTAAATGCTAAATGCCTCACTCACTCGGGCTCATTACATACGTCACAGTAAACTCAGATCCAATGGTTTCAATCTGCAAAAGGAGTTAGCCCCTCCCACCTGTTAACAGAGTCAATGGAGACAATCCAGACCTTAGTATCAGATGAAATGAGTACAATGGTGTGGTACGACCGGGCTAGGATGGGTTGAGGACTGGATGGAGGCTCATGGATCATTGCCTTGAGGTCACTAATCTCTGAACATTTCCCAGCCCCCGCCTCACTCCCCCCCCTCACAGTGGAACACAGAGCGGCCCAGTGCCCCCGGACCACTGCTTGAAACCCTCTGCACTTATCATAACTGCTTTCTCTGTTCATTCTCTCTGCACTGTCATATGTGCGTAACGAGAGCTGAAGGTCAGGCTGGTCTCGTCACAGCGCTGACCCGAGGCTCTGGGGCCGGGCTCTGGGGCCGGGCTCTGGGGCCGGGCTCTGGGGCCGGGCTCTGGGGCCGGGCTCTGGGGCCGGGCTCTGGGGCCGGGCTCTGGGGCCGGGCTCTGGGGCCGGGCTCTGGGGCCGGGCTCTGGGGCCGGGCTCTGGGGCCGGGCTCTGGGGCCGGGCTCTGGGGCCGGGGCTGCTCTGCCATCTCTGTTGAGCTCGGGGCAGATCCAGCCTTTGTCCACGACACAATACCACTGAAAAGAGCACTCGCTGGTCACGAGGGCTGCTATTCACGGACTATTGATAGGACTGGACTGGAGGACTGGACTGGAGGACTGGACTGGAGGACTGGACTGGAGGACTGGACTGGAGGACTGGACTGGAGGACTGGACTGGAGGACTGGACTGGAGGACTGGACTGGAGGACTGGACTGGAGGACTGATAGGACTGGACTGGAGGACTGGAGGACTGGAGGACTGGAGGACTGGAGGACTGTGGACTGTTTGAGTGATGGTCTGGCAGAACTGGACTGATAGGACTGGTGGGACTGATGGGACTGATGGGACTGGTGGGACCGATGGGACCGATGGGACCGATGGGACCGATGGGACCGGTGGGACCGATGGGACCGATGGGACCGGTGGGACCGGTGGGACCGATGGGACTGGTGGGACTGGTGGGACTGATGGGACCGGTGGGACTGATGGGACTGATAGGACCGATGGGACTGATGGGACTGGTGGGACTGATGGGACTGATGGGACTGATGGGACTGATGGGACTGATGGGACTGATGGGACTGATAGGACCGATGGGACTGGTGGGACTGATGGGACTGATGGGACTGGACTTGGACCTGGGGCTGCATTAGCGCAGACCCCTCACAATGGTGTGTGAGAGGCACTTATCTTCAGAGGACGACACAGAAGGTTCAGTGCAGGAGGTCGGAGGTCGGGTCATGGACGGTCTGCTCCAGTTCCTGCTGCAGAGGCCTGTGTTCCACTCAAGTCAAGTGTGTCAACAAACCAGTCCTTTCACTGCAGGAAATGATGAAAAACAGGGTAAAAAATTCTCAAATTCAGTGTTTTTATCTTGATCTGACACATTGTGACTGTGTTAAAACAAGATTCTCCAACGGGACAAAGCCATTTAGTCTTATTTTAAAAACTGTTGCTTTATTTTCTCATTCTAAGGGAGACATTTCTTGTATCTTTGCTTTTGCGTTGTCCCATTGTCAGTCAGAATGTGCTCAAATTAAGATACATTTAGTTGAATTTAAGCAATTTTTGACTTATTTTCACGTGGAAAGGTTGGCCTGGTATTACATCCTACAACCTGTGATTGTGTCCTTAGGCAAGACACTTCCCCCACATTAGAATGAGGTGTGTGTGTGAATGGTTGGTGGTGGCACAGACTGGTTGCCTCGCTTCTGACAGTGTGCCTCAGGGCAGCTGTGGCTACAGTAGTTTATCACCACTGAGTTTGGAGAGACAGAATAATGACATGTGAAGTGTCTTTGAGAGTATATTATTATTATTATTATTATCATTAATGTCAAAACACCTTCATGAAGTAAAGAACAATTATGACAAAAGAAAATGCCTTCTATTCTTTCGGCCCCGACAAAAATGAGTTTGAGAATCCGCTTTAGATCGATTTGACGTCATAAACACTCCAGGTTTTGGATTATTGACAGTTTTTCTGTCTGAGTTCTGATGTGTTTGATCAACGTTTAATCTGGAACTCAGAGCAGAAGGAAATAAATGGTGAATGTTCAGGAAAAAACACTTTTATCTAAACTACAAAAAAGTGCAGACGGCCGAACGAACCTCGTGACCTGTCTGCAGAAGCCACACGCACAGGAAGACCAAGCCCCATGATCCAAGATGGCCCCTGTTCAAATGAACGGCTTGTGCTCAGTAGTTCATGGGACTTCACGGAGACCGGGAGATTAGCAGAACTCGTCCATATTTGGGCATCGTCTGGTCCTCCCGGTTCTGTGCAGTGGATTATCTCCCATGATGCTTTGCTCTCATGCACGTGCACAGAGGGTCTCGGCCGCGCTCTGACCAATCAGAGCTGATCAGAGTGGGAAGGAAAGGAGCAGAGTTTGTGGCAGTAAAGTGTGGATTTAAAGAAAACCGAAGGATTTAAGAAGAAAAACAGTTCAGAATGACAAGGGACACTAAAATCCCCACAAAATACGACCTTTATGAAACACACACAGACATGCACATACACACGCACACAGACACACACATCTTCTTTTTGGACGCTGGATGCTAAAGCTAGCGATTCTGTACTCAGATTCAGATTCATTTATTGGCCATGTGCAGTATAAAACCTACATTGGAATACATTTGCAATAAAAGGTACTCTGTGTGCACCGACAGAATAAAAAAATAATAAAGTACTTGATTCTTTGTTATGCTAAAGCTACAGATTTTATTCTAGTCTAGTTTTATTTAGTATATATGTTCATTTATCTCATGCTGTGCTCCTCATTCCTACTGTTCTGTAACTGCTGATGCAACACTGACATTTCCCCACTGTGGATCTCTTAATCTTAATCTTAATCCGAATGGAGCGTGCTCAGGTTTTGGCAGAGCGCGGCTCAAAACAAAGTAGGTCTTTTTACACACTCTATTTCCGTTACATTGTGTCTGTGTGTGTGTGTGTGTGTGTGTGTGTGTGTGTGTGTGTGTGTGTGTGTGTGTGTGTGTGTGTTGTGCGTGCGTGTGTGTGTGTGCATGTGTGTGTGTGTGTATTTGACCCGTAAACTTGGGAGTTCTCAGGAGTCACTGGGTTCACAGACCTGGGCTCCTGCTGCTGTTCGGCCCCAGGGAGGAGGAGGCAGCGAAGGAGGAAGAGGAGGAGGAGGAGGAAGAAGAGGAGGAAGAGGAGGAGGAGGAGGAGGAGGAGGAGGAGGAGGAAGAGGAGGAGGAGGAGGAGGAAGAGGAGGAGGAGGAGGAGGAAGAGGAGGAGGAGGAGGAGGAGGAGGAGGAAGAGGAGGAGGAGGAGGAGGAGGAGGAGGAGGAGGAGGAGGAGGTGAAGGAGGAGGAGGAAGAGGAGGAGGAGGAGGAGGAGGAAGAGGAGGAGGAGGAGGAGGAGGAGGAGGAGGAGGAGGTGAAGGAGGAGGAGGAAGAGGAGGAGGAGGAGGAGGTGAAGGAGGAGGGGGGTTCTCCCTTCTCTCTTAACTTCTGCATGTTAGTCTAGCGTTATCTACTGTAACACGTTCGGTTTCTCTCTGTATCTCTCTTTCTTCATCTCTCTCTGTTTCTTTCTGTCTCTCTCACTCTGTCTCGCTCTCTCTCTCTCGCTGTCTCTGTCGCTCTAATTTCTCTCTTTCTATTTCGCTCTCCCTCTCTCCCTGTCTTCTCTTTCTCTGTCTCTCTCGCTGTCTCTGCCTGTATCTTTCTCTCTCTGTCTTGCTCTCTCCATACCTCTCTCTAAATCTCTCTTTGTGTTTTTGTGTCTCTCTCTGTTTATTTCTGCCACTCAATCTCCGTCTCTCTGTCTCTTTCACTCTCTCTCTGTCTCTCCCTCTCTGTCTCCCCCTCTCTCTCTCTGTCTCTCTCTGTCTCTTCCTCTCTCTCTGTCTCTCTCTCTGTAACCGATATGCGTCAAAAGTTTCTCCCCTCTCTCTCAACTTCCGCATGTTAGTCTTACGTTTTTAATTGTGACACGTTCCGTTTCACTCCCTCTCTCTCTGTGTGTCTCTCTCTCTGAGTCTGTCTCTCTCTCTCTCTCTCAGTCTCTCTCTCTCTGTCTCTCGCTCTCTCTGAGTCTGTCTCTCTCTCAGTCTCTCGCTCTCTCTGAGTCTGTCTCTCTCTCTCTATCAATCTGTCTCTCTCAGTCTCTCTCTCTCCCTCACTCTCTCTGAGTCTGTCTCTCCCTCTCTCTGAGTCTGTCTCTCTCTCAGTCTCTCTCTCTCTCACTCTCTCTGAGTCTGTCTCTCTCAGTCTCTCTCGCTCTCTGAGTCTGTCTCTCAGTCTCTCTCTCTCTCTCTCAGTCTCTCTCTCTCTCTCTCTCTCTCTCTCTCGTTCTCTCTCTCTCTCTGTGAATGGTTATCCTAGAATGACCCCAAAGCTGAAGTGAGAACATCCCGTTCCACAGATATTAATAGCACCTCTTTACGTCACCAAAACAGTGTCCGCTTTCAAAGACACGCAAGCGCCACGTTCTCTTCACAACTACAACTCTGTCGTTACTATCGCAGTCTGAGGATGTTTCCAGAAATGCATGTAGCCTGCACTGCTGCTGCTTCTTTCAGCTAAAAACACAGGCCATCAGGAGAGAGCAGCCAAATCCCGGGTTTCCATCCATCTACATGTCTCTGTGTGAGAAATGTGCACAGAACAGTCACACACGGCAAAAAATATGTCAAAAATGGTTAACATTTGGCAAATTTGAGCACATTCTGACTGATCCTTCACACAAGATTCCCCAATGGGACCACGCAAAAGTATCTTGTTTTAAAAAGACACAAGAAATCAGAAGAAGCAGATCTTGAAATACGGCTAAACAGCTTTGTCCCGTTGGAGAATCTTGCTTTAAAACAGTCAGAATGTGCACAAATTAACCTAAAAACCACCTGATTCCAGCACGTATTGCGCAATTTCTTATCACTGTTCACTGTGTACAAGGGAAAAGAGTTTGCATCAAAGTCAGGCAGAGATTCTCAGAAAAGCGTCCCCCCCTCGTCCCACACCGGCCTCACATAGGAAGCCATAATGTCTAGAGTGCACAATAAGCCATATGTTAACCTAGTCCCTCCCCCCTATAAGTCGTGGAAGTGCAGGGAGGAGACAGGCCGACAGGGAGGAGCACAGACTGTTGCACACACACACTCAGCCTGACATGGCACTGCACTGTCGGGGAACTAGGTCAGACGAATCGGCCTATAGCAGGCGTTGCGTCACGTGACCAGGGGAACCGAGGCCTCACCCACTATTTACACTGACTCATACCACTTTTTGTATGAATTGAGACGCTAAGTCCACGGATTTTTGCTTCACACGCATGGGGAGAGTTATGACTTCTTTCCGTCCACACACACACACACACACAACATGCTGGACTCATTTTCCAAGAGTTGGCAGAGGATTCGTGTGTAATTTGGTCAATGTTCCAACCTCGCCAGGACAAGAATAGGACAATGAGATGGATCTGTGCAGGAAGTATCCAAGACTAAACGAGAGCAGACAACAAACAACAAACTTAGTCAGGACTAAACTCAACACCAGTAACAAACATCTCTAGAAAGAGCTCAAACCAAAACGGACCGTCTATAGGGTCATAACTCACTCCAGATATGATTAGGAAGCACTCCAGGAATCAAGGTCTAATGAGGTTCTAGACCCTGACAGAACACTGCAAAAAGTGATGAAAAATATTTTAAAAAATTGCTTAAATAGGCTAAAAATGTTGTCTTTGTGTCTTAATGTATTGGAAAATCTGGTCAAAATGATATTGTTTTATAAAGTTACAAGAAATATCTCCCTTGGAATGATAAAATAAAGCAACAGTTTTTGAAATAGGACTAAAATGTCTTAGTTGGAGAATCTGGTTTTAAGCATAGACTGTAAATATTAGCAGACGTAGTGACGCCTCTCTCCGCCCTTCAAGCTAACGTGCCTCCCACTTTTGCCTTCTATGGGCGTTTTCAAAATGGCCGCGGGGGCTGGCATTTGTGAAATAACACTTTTGCGCATTCGTTAGCTGCACTAGCCCCATTCATCCGACGAGTGCATTCAAAAGTCCACAAACAAGACTGGTCCTCAGCATTGTCAGCATCTGGAACCGAGAGCCACTTTTGGACCATCCTGTAAAGAGGTTTTCGAAAGGAAAAAAGGCGGCAAACAAAAGCATTGGGCAATTCTCTTTCCGGGTACACCCCCACAGGCGTGGAGTGGTTTTGCAAATGTCAGTGCACGTACTCATGGACGTTTTGGAGCCAGGACCCCCCCCCACTGTTTTAAACACAGTCAGGATGTGTCAGATTAAGATACAAGAACTAGATTCAAGCTTTTATCGCTTCATATTTGATCCTTTTTTGCACTGAAGATATACATTTATAAACTTTGTACTTGTTCGCTCTTCCACCTGTCGATCTCATACAACTTAAAACACAAAAACAAGGAGCATTACTAAGTGTAAAGTCCTTCAGAGCAACCTGCCAGTTTGCTGTGACTTGTGTTTCTTTAACCTTGGGTCATTATTGGAAAGCAGATAAAATGTTCTGCAGCAATAAAACACAGTCAGTGATTAAATGTTCTTTCGTGTGTTTATGCTGCGGACACTTTGCCAGAATAGGTTCACTTGAACTTCCACCCTTTGGTTTGAGGACAAAAGTCAAACATTTGAAGACGATTCCATAAATGGGACTGAATCTGACTCGTATCTGTAAAAAAGTCTGGATTCTATGAAAGTGTTGTTCCATCGGCTGTAATCTCCCTCAGAGAAATGTACTTAATGTTTCAAAGTGTAGAGGCAGAAAAAGTTTCAGAATGATTTTCCAGCTCAGAGACGTTTGACTTCTTTTGTTTATCTGCGAGAAGCGGCTGCACTTGTAAAGATTACTCACTCCACTATCGTCCACACTGCAACAAGTGAGGACAAATAAGTCAAAAATTGCTCAAAATGTCGCAAAAATTTATCTTGATTTCAGCACATTCTAACTGCTTTAAAACAAGATTCTCCAAGATCTTGTTTTAAAAAGACACAAGAAATGTCTCCCTTGGAATGAGAAAATAAGGAACCAGTTCTTGAAATACGACTAAATGGCTTTGTCCCATTGGAGACTCTAGTTTTAACTCTCGAGGCTGGCGTTGCAGATTTGCAACAACTTAATTTCTTATTACCTAACTACTCCGGATCCATATATTTTACCCTTTTTTAGCATCACAGTTGTTCACCTGCTCACCAGGGGGCGCAGCTGTCTCACTTCCATAATGTCAGTCTCCTCGGTTTCACCAAAAAAGTTTTCTCTGTTTCAATTTCCAGTCGGTATCATGACCAATCTCTGATGATTTAAACCAAAACTGCATTAAATGATAGATGAATATATGTAGATACAGTACACGCTAATTAGTAGATTATATCTCCTTTGACCACAGCGAGCCAATGTTGCAAATCTGCAACATCCCAGAAAGCATTATCTGTGAAGGTCTCTCTCTCTCAAAAAAAAAAATCTGTTTTGTATATTACTAACCCATATGATAATTTTCCCCAAATATGAGATATTTCCTTTCATTCAAATATAATTGGTCCGGAGAAGGATAAAGTCAGACTGCGCTCGGACCAACCACAGAAATCTTGGACAAAGAACCCTCAAGCTCCCTGGTCTCTGTCTCCACTGGCTGCGTTTAAACAGGGCCTCAGCTCGTGCAGTCACCCTCCTCCTCCCCCTACTGTAATTACATACTTGACAATGACCCCAGACATTTTATACTGTATGTTTCTGCTCCTTATATGTATGGAATAATGAGGGAATAAAACATATCTGGTCATGGAACAGATATGTTTTTATGTTTTTAGCCGATGAAGAAAAAGGGAACCCAAAATATAGGACTGAAAATCAAATATTGTTTCATAAATTCCAAACCCAGAGTGACAAAAAAACACCAAATTCCAGAACTGAAAAACAAGACAGGGCCAAAGAAGGTAGAGATAATGGACGGACAAAAAGTGGGGAAAAGCACAGGTGATAAAGACACACAGGGGACACAGGTGGCTGAGTGGATAGCACTCTCGCCTCTCAGCAAGAAGGTCCTGGGTTCGAATCCCGGTCGGACCAGGGCCTTTCTGAGTGGAGTTTGCATGTTCTCCCCGTGTCTGCGTAGGTTTCCTCCGGGTACTCCGGTTTCCCCTACCACTAAAAATATGTCCAATAGTTCTGGCATGCGCCTCCTGTACTGGCCCCTCCCATCTCTGTGTGGAGTGAGAGACAAATGCCCAAAAATTAACAATTGTAAACCGCTTTGAGACTCAGATCTGCAGTGAAAAGGTGGTATATAAATAAAAACTTAAAAACGTACTTACTTACACAGGTGGACCACATTAGGGCGGGGCTAACTATCAACAGGACAGACATATAAGGTCAAAATAACCTTATATGGCACCAACTCCTTCACCAACTCACACAGTTAAACCACATATTTTTCATAGTTTCGATGCTAAATGAATATTCTAGAATACAATTATACTAAACAGAGGAGATGCAAGATGGAAGAGGAGGGTTCTGAGCACAGACTGTTTATATGAACGTATATGTCGTAGTCAGGCCTATCTCGGCCGTTCTAACTAATGGGCCAAAAATAGGGCTTTCATGGAGTGATTTAAAATGGCAGCGGGGGCTGGAAAATGTGAAAAAACGCATCTGTGCAGGCGTCAGCTGCACGAGCCCCATTCATTTAAATGAGTGACTTCTAAAGTCCACAGCGACTAAACTAGACTGGTCCAGAACACTCCCTCAGCATTGACACACATGTGGAACTTTTGGACCATCCTGTAAAGATTTTTTTTCCAGAGGTAAGAAGATGCTATATGTTAGGATTGGCTAATTCTTATTCCGGGTCCACCCCCACAGGCCCGGGGTGGTATTGCAGCATGTCAGCGCACGTCAGTTTGGTCACTTTTCCACTGGTTCTGAATTTGAAGTCCAGGAGAGAGTCTGAGTCAGTTCCAGAGAGTACATTTCATCACAGATTTGCAACTTTTTCCGATTCACGATTAGTTTTGGTGAATTCTGTGGGTTGGTGACGGGTTCAGGGACGTCTTCTCACGGGGGGGGATTCTCGTTCTGCTTTCTCTTGAAACGATGCTTTGCTTGTTTTAGCCGAATCAGAGGTCGTGCAGAGTGTGACAGGAAGAGGAAGTGAAGTTTTTGCAGCTGAGGCTCGGACTCGGAGCTTCTGGAAGGATCACGCTGCTGCACAAACACACAGTCCACTCACGACGCTCTCCTGCTGTTTCTGCGGGAAAATGTAGAAGTCACGCTTGAAATGATTAAATGCTTATGTTCCTTATACACACTGCAAAAAGAAAAGATAAAATATGAGGAAACAATCGCTTGAATTTAGTGGTGAATCCCTGTCAGAACCCGGTCTGAGTGGAGTTTGCATGTTCTCCCCGTGTCTGCGTAGGTTTCCTCCGAGTGCTCCGGTTTCCCCTACCACTAAAAACATGCACAATAGTTCAGGGTGAATGAGTGTGTGTTTGTGAGTGCAAATGTGGGACGACAGAGGCAAATTAGCCCAAGGTACAATCTGGAGTGATGTGTTCATGAACATGCACTGTCCCAACCAAATAAATACATAAATACATAAATATGGCTTAAGTTGTTTTCTGTTAAGATAATTACGTCCCAGTTCATGATTTTTTTCTCCTACATCCACCTTTGTAATAAATCATGCTTTTAATATTTTATAAATCACCTAAATCCTCCTCATTCTTAAACAGCAAAGCCAGTAAATCAGACGAAATGTAGTTTGTTTTCAGTGATTCCTTTATTTTTATATGTTTTATGTCCTAATTCTCTGTATTTGCAGCGTTGACAGCCGAGTGAACACAGTCTGAGTGTGCGGTGTTATAGTCCTGGTGTTTGTGACCTTATCTCAGGAGCTCAGGTGAGACTCAGCTGAGGTGTGTCTGTTTCTATAGCAACCAGGGAAACACTTCTACTTCCTGTTGATCCACCCGGGGCCAGGACGTGTCTCTGGGCTTTCTTATCTTAGTCCTGTTTTAGTCAAAGCAGAAGAATCCGTGTTTAGACCTGGCTCTCGGGCATCAGTGCGAGGTTTTCTTACTTACAATTAAAAACAGTTTGAGTGATAATAGATTCCTGAGACAGAGCAACAGCCTCAGAGCAAATGACACTGACACGAGCATGTGGCGCCCTCTATAGGACAAATAGGGCTATTGCAAAATGTTTTTTTTTGTCTTTCTCCAGGAATCCAATCATGAACATAGTTAAATCACATGTTGCTCAAATGTGAATTATGAAGGAATGTGTCCAAGTCTCTCCAGGGCCTCGCACCAAAGTACATCTGTGACATGTTAGTGCCATATGAACCAACTCTGAGGAGCACAGGGACTGGCCTCCTGCTGGGACTCTGAGGAGCACAGGGACTGGCCTCCTGCTGGGACTCTGAGGAGCACAGGGACTGGCCTCCTGCTGGGACTCTGAGGAGCACAGGGACTGGCCTCCTCCTGGGACTCTGAGGAGCACAGGGACTGGCCTCCTGCTGGGACTCTGAGGAGCACAGGGACTGGCCTCCTGCTGGGACTCTGAGGAGCACAGGGTCTGGCCTCCTGCTGGGACTCTGAGGAGCACAGGGACTGGCCTCCTGCTGGGACTCTGAGGAGCACAGGGACTGGCCTATAGCTGGGACTCTGAGGAGCACAGGGACTGGCCTATAGCTGGGACTCTGAGGAGCACAGGGACTGGCCTCCTGCTGGGACTCTGAGGAGCACAGGGACTGGCCTCCTGCTGGGACTCTGAGGAGCACAGGGACTGGCCTCCTGCTGGGACTCTGAGGAGCACAGGGACTGGCCTATAGCTGGGACTCTGAGGAGCACAGGGACTGGCCTCCTGCTGGGACTCTGAGGAGCACAGGGACTGGCCTCCTGCTGGGACTCTGAGGAGCACAGGGACTGGCCTCCTGCTGGGACTCTGAGGAGCACAGGGACTGGCCTCCTGCTGGGACTCAGAGGAGCACAGGGACTGGCCTCCTGCTGGTCCCAGAGTCAAGACTAAACATGAAGAGGCAGCTTTTCAGATTCATGTTGCTAAAATCTGGAACAGTCTTCCTGAAAATGTGAGACAGGCTTCTTCTCTGACAATGTTCAAATCCAGGTTAAAAACAGGATTTTATCAGTACTCTTTTTAATGTGTTATGATTATTTAGGATGTTAACGGCTTGTGTGACTGTCTCTTTATCTTGTTTTCTTCAGATCTTGGAGTTTCCTTGTGTATAAACTGTGCTCTACAAATAAACTTGCCTTTAATGGCTGTAATGCGTTGGTATCATATTGTTTCTTGACAAAGAAGATTATGCAAAGATCTACAACAGGACGTTAAGACTAGAAATAATGTGATAACAAATGACACCAATATGGCTTTTTTATATAGATACTTATTTGTCTTTTATACATAAACATAACTTATAAAATACGTTATAAATCTCTATGTCTCTGGTTTAAAACTGCATGAACCCCACTTCCCCACCAGAGGGAGCCCTTTGATCAGCTGGAGTATGATTGTGTTAAGTTAAATGATAAAATTGAGTGATTTGACTTCTAATGTGTGAAGCAGCGTCCACTTTTAATGACGTCACTGTGTCTTTCTACATTCTCCCACGTGCAAATCAACACGATTATGAGACACAGGTACATATAGACACAGAGAGACACAGGTACATATAGACACACAGAGAGACACAGGTACATATAGACACTCAGAGAGACACAGGTACATATAGACACTCAGAGAGACACAGGTACATATAGACACAGAGACACAGGTACATATAGGCACACAGAGAGACACAGGTACATATAGACACAGAGACACAGGTACATATAGACAAAGAGAGACACAGGTACATATAGACACAGAGAGACACAGGTACATATAGACACAGAGAGACACAGGTACATATAGACACAGAGACACAGGTACATATAGACACAGAGACACAGGTACATATAGACACAGAGAGACACAGGTACATATAGACAGAGACACAGGTACATATAGACAGAGACACAGGTACATATAGACACACACAGAGAGACACAGGTACATATAGACACAGAGAGACACAGGTACATATAGACACACAGAGAGACACAGGTACATATAGACACACAGAGAGACACAGGTACATATAGACACAGAGACACAGGTACATATAGACACAGAGAGACACAGGTACATATAGACACAGAGAGACACAGGTACATATAGACACACAGAGAGACACAGGTACATATAGACACAGAGAGACACAGGTACATATAGACACACAGAGAGACACAGGTACATATAGACACAGAGAGACACAGGTACATATAGACACAGAGACACAGGTACATACTGTATAGACACAGAGGCGTACCTTGCCATTAGGCAAGGCAGGCAGCTGCCTGGGGCCCCCATACCGACAGGGGGCCCCCGAGGGCTGACTGATTTGACACAAGCGGTCGACTTGTGCAGGCTTCAACAGCTCCTGCAGTAGGTTATCATCTGATGCAAAACTTGCCACGTTCTTCATTAACAGTTGAAAAGTCTTCCTGGGGACTCCTGAGTATTGTTTGTAGCGACGACTCGGGTGAGATCTGTGTTTTGGATTAAACTATTTGGCTCTCTGTGTTTATAAAGAGGGGCGACAGTGGCTCAGTTGTAGAATATTGGCCTTTGAGCCTGAAGGTCGTGGGTTCGAGCCCACCATAAGACCTACTTCACGACTCCCACTGATGACTGCTGTCGTTGTGTCCTTGGGCAAGACACTTAACCCCACTTTGCCTGAATCCCCAACTGAAAGATCTCAGCTCCTGTGGACTCAGCACCTGCAGGAGGATCAGTGAGGGGCTGGTGCTCTGTGGACTGAGTGCAGCTCTGACTGCCACCCCCCGACCCAGAAATGGATTAAGGGGAAGAAAATGGATGGATGGATGTTTATACTGTATAGACTATATAAACACCAAGGGTCAACTGGAAGATTAAACTTTGTAGGATTAAAGGCGCTATACCCGTTTCTGCAATGTTTGAATGTTTAGCACCGCCCCCCAACTCACTCAATGGCTTCTCATTTCCCCTACGCTCTCATAACACAGAGCCACCTAGTTTTATTTGCGATCTGATAAATATGCTAACATTAGCATTAGCGCAACTTCTTGTAAGCTGTGCAACAATCACCGATGAAATGGCACTAAAGCAACGCACTGCTAACACAATATAAGTAAAAGAATACCGCTAGTTTCGCGTCCGAATGTATTAATTTAAAACCTTAGAATATATTCTAATATTGAATTATAATTTGTTATAGAGCTCCTCAAAGCAGCAGCAGCAATTCTTCCGATAATTTTTTCTTGATAACAGAACTCTCAAACCAATAATGACCGAAGCCCCAATGCAACCTCTGTTTGTAATTCAGGTGTGTAAAATACTGCCATTACTCTGCAAGTACAAGCTATCAGCACCTGTCACTACACACTTGTCTGTGTAGAGAAGCCAACGGAGCTAGCGGAGCTAGCCACGCTCAATAAACAAATACATATCTATCAATCAACACCATTAAACGTCAATCGGACAATACAGTACACATATACATCCTTAACACACATGCACGGATGATTTCAGAATTTGCTGTTAACGTTTTCATAACAAAAATACTGTTTCAAAGTGACAAAAAGCGATTGCGAAAAACCCGGAAGTTACCACGAAACAGCTAGCTAGCTTAGCTGTTACCTGCCTAGCACGTCCCGGTGAAACCTTTGGGAGCTAACTATTTTATTTGCAGTCATTAAATACATTTCGAATTACAAGGGTTGTCTAATATTTGTTCACATTTTTTTATTCAATTATTTTGTTCATCATTTTTTATTTTAGAATTTATATTCGAATTTTGAAGTCGAAGCCCTGGTGTTAAGCAGCGCTGTAGAGACTAGAGGACGCAGGCTGCTCGCTGCTCGTTCTGTGAGCGGAGGAGAAAGAGCGGCCCGCTCAGACTCTACTCAGCACTTTTCACTGCTTGTAATTCTTACACAGCTGAATCAATTACCTCAAGTTTTCAATTAAATGATGTATTATGATACAACTTGTATGTAGTAAAAAGCATTTTTATGAACTACTTAGAAAAAAAATCGGGTATAGCTTCTTCAATACACTTTGATAGGTAGTTTTTGTAATTAATTATAACATGATGAGTGAACAGGTGTATAAAAAGACATGCTAAAATATTTCTCATTGTTTGTGTCACGATAAGTTCTGAAGTATTCACAATGTTCTATGGTAGACTGTACAGTCTTCCAGGCAGGCCCCAGGCAGGCCCCAGGCCTATCCATTTATTGTTAAAAGTAAGAATTTATCTACATTTAATTTATATTAATGTAAGTAATAGATATTGTATTTTACCTTATTATTAAATATATATTTATACCTACTGTAATATAAACCTTTTATGTGGTTATGTGGTCGGTATCGGGGCCCCCAAGGACTCTGTTGCCTGGGGCCCCGGGGGACCCTTGGTGCGCCTCTGTGTAGACACAGAGACACACAGGCTTTTTGCAGTAGAAGCAGCTTGGGAAACGTACCACAGATTGACCAACACTAACACTAATAAGTCAAACCCAGAAGACACGTTTGCAGGACTTTGCAGGACTAAACCACAGAGCGTGTCCCAGAGCGTGTCCCTGAGCGTGTCCCAGAGAGTGTCCCAGAGCGTGTCCCAGAGCGTGTCCCAGAGCGTGTCCCAGAGCGTGTCCCAGAGAGTGTCCCAGAGCGTGTCCCAGAGCGTGTCCCAGAGCGTGTCCCAGAGCGTGTCCCAGAGCGTGTCCCAGAGCGTGTCCCTGAGCGTGTCCCAGAGCGTGTCCCAGAGCGTGTCCCAGAGCGTGTTCCAGAGCGTGTTCCAGAGCGTGTCCCTGAGCGTGTCCCAGAGCGTGTCCCAGAGCGTGTCCCAGAGCGTGTCCCTGAGCGTGTCCCAGAGAGTGTCCCAGAGCGTGTCCCTGAGCGTGTCCCAGAGAGTGTCCCAGAGCGTGTCCCTGAGCGTGTCCCAGAGCGTGTCCCAGAGCGTGTCCCAGAGAGTGTCCCAGAGCGTGTCCCAGAGCGTGTCCCAGAGAGTGTCCCAGAGCGTGTCCCAGAGCGTGTCCCAGAGCGTGTCCCAGAGCGTGTCCCAGAGCGTGTCCCAGTGAGTGTCCCAGAGAGTGTCCCAGAGCGTGTCCCTGAGCGTGTCCCAGAGAGTGTCCCAGAGCGTGTCCCAGAGCGTGTCCCAGAGCGTGTCCCTGAGCGTGTCCCAGAGCGTGTCCCAGAGCGTGTCCCAGAGCGTGTTCCAGAGCGTGTTCCAGAGCGTGTCCCTGAGCGTGTCCCAGAGCGTGTCCCAGAGCGTGTCCCAGAGCGTGTCCCTGAGCGTGTCCCAGAGAGTGTCCCAGAGCGTGTCCCTGAGCGTGTCCCAGAGAGTGTCCCAGAGCGTGTCCCTGAGCGTGTCCCAGAGCGTGTCCCAGAGCGTGTCCCAGAGAGTGTCCCAGAGCGTGTCCCAGAGCGTGTCCCAGAGAGTGTCCCAGAGCGTGTCCCAGAGCGTGTCCCAGAGCGTGTCCCAGAGCGTGTCCCAGAGCGTGTCCCAGAGCGTGTCCCAGTGAGTGTCCCAGAGAGTGTCCCAGAGCGTGTCCCTGAGCGTGTCCCAGAGAGTGTCCCAGAGCGTGTCTCAGAGCGTGTCCCAGAGCGTGTCTCAGAGCGTGTCCCAGAGCGTGTCCCAGAGCGTGTCCCAGAGCGTGTCCCAGAGCGTGTCCCAGAGTGTGTCCCTGAGCGTGTCCCAGAGCGTGTCTCAGAGCGTGTCTCAGAGCGTGTCCCAGAGCGTGTCCCAGAGCGTGTCCCAGAGCGTGTCCCAGAGCGTGTCCCAGAGCGTGTCCCAGAGAGTGTCCCAGAGCGTGTCCCTGAGCGTGTCCCAGAGAGTGTCCCAGAGCGTGTCCCAGAGCGTGTCCCTGAGCGTGTCCCAGAGCGTGTCCCAGAGCGTGTCCCAGAGAGTGTCCCAGAGCGTGTCCCAGAGAGTGTCCCAGAGCGTGTCCCTGAGCGTGTCCCAGAGTGTGTCCCAGAGCGTGTCCCAGAGCGTGTCCCAGAGAGTGTCCCAGAGAGTGTCCCAGAGCGTGTCCCTGAGCGTGTCCCAGAGCGTGTCTCAGAGCGTGTCTCAGAGCGTGTCCCAGAGCGTGTCCCAGAGCGTGTTCCAGAGCGTGTCCCAGAGCGTGTCCCAGAGCGTGTCCCAGAGAGTGTCCCAGAGCGTGTCCCTGAGCGTGTCCCAGAGAGTGTCCCAGAGCGTGTCCCAGAGCGTGTCCCTGAGCGTGTCCCAGAGCGTGTCCCAGAGCGTGTCCCAGAGAGTGTCCCAGAGCGTGTCCCAGAGAGTGTCCCAGAGCGTGTCCCTGAGCGTGTCCCAGAGTGTGTCCCAGAGCGTGTCCCAGAGCGTGTCCCAGAGAGTGTCCCAGAGAGTGTCCCAGAGCGTGTCCCTGAGCGTGTCCCAGAGAGTGTCCCAGAGCGTGTCCCAGAGCGTGTCCCAGAGCGTGTCCCTGAGCGTGTCCCAGAGCGTGTCTCAGAGCGTGTCCCAGAGCGTGTCCCAGAGCGTGTCCCAGAGCGTGTTCCAGAGCGTGTCCCAGAGCGTGTCCCAGAGCGTGTCCCAGAGAGTGTCCCAGAGCGTGTCCCAGAGCGTGTCCCAGAGCGTGTCTCAGAGCGTGTCCCAGAGCGTGTCCCTGAGCGTGTCCCAGAGTGTGTCCCAGAGCGTGTCCCAGTGAGTGTCCCAGAGAGTGTCCCAGAGCGTGTCCCTGAGCGTGTCCCAGAGAGTGTCCCAGAGCGTGTCCCAGAGCGTGTCCCTGAGCGTGTCCCAGAGCGTGTCTCAGAGCGTGTCCCAGAGCGTGTCCCAGAGCGTGTCCCTGAGCGTGTCCCAGAGAGTGTCCCAGAGCGTGTCCCTGAGCGTGTCCCAGAGCGTGTTTTAGAGCGTGTCTCAGAGCGTGTCCCAGAGAGTGTCCCAGAGCGTGTCCCAGAGCGTGTCCCAGAGCGTGTCCCAGAGAGTGTCCCAGAGCGTGTCCCAGAGAGTGTCCCAGAGAGTGTCCCAGAGCGTGTCCCTGAGCGTGTCCCAGAGAGTGTCCCAGAGCGTGTCCCAGAGCGTGTCCCAGAGCGTGTCCCTGAGCGTGTCCCAGAGCGTGTCACAGAGCGTGTCCCAGAGCGTGTCCCAGAGCGTGTCCCAGAGCGTGTTCCAGAGCGTGTCCCAGAGCGTGTCCCAGAGCGTGTCCCAGAGCGTGTTCCAGAGCGTGTCCCAGAGCGTGTCCCAGGGCGTGTCCCAGAGAGTGTCCCAGAGAGTGTCCCAGAGCTTGTCCCAGAGAGTGTCCCAGAGCGTGTCCCAGAGAGTGTCCCAGAGCGTGTCCCTGAGCGTGTCCCAGAGTGTGTCCCAGAGCGTGTCCCAGTGAGTGTCCCAGAGAGTGTCCCAGAGCGTGTCCCAGAGAGTGTCCCAGAGCGTGTCCCAGAGCGTGTCCCAGAGAGTGTCCCAGAGCGTGTCCCAGAGAGTGTCCCAGAGCGTGTCCCTGAGCGTGTCCCAGAGTGTGTCCCAGAGCGTGTCCCAGTGAGTGTCCCAGAGAGTGTCCCAGAGCGTGTCCCTGAGCGTGTCCCAGAGAGTGTCCCAGAGCGTGTCCCAGAGCGTGTCCCTGAGCGTGTCCCAGAGCGTGTCTCAGAGCGTGTCCCAGAGCGTGTCCCAGAGAGTGTCCCAGAGCGTGTCCCAGAGCGTGTCCCAGAGCGTGTCCCAGAGCGTGTCCCAGAGAGTGTCCCAGAGCGTGTCCCAGAGAGTGTCCCAGAGTGTGTCCCTGAGCGTGTCCCAGAGCGTGTCTCAGAGCGTGTCCCAGAGCGTGTCCCAGAGCGTGTCCCAGAGAGTGTCCCAGAGAGTGTCCCAGAGCGTGTCCCAGAGAGTGTTCCAGGGCGTGTCCCAGAGAGTGTCCCAGAGCGTGTCCCAGAGCGTGTCCCAGAGAGTGTCCCAGAGCGTGTCTCAGAGCGTGTCCCAGAGCGTGTCCCAGAGCGTGTCCCAGAGCGTGTCCCAGAGCGGCTGCTGCAGGATCAGCCGAGGGCCTCTCTCTCTCTGTGCAGTGACAAAGTAGATTTCTCTCCAATAACCATTTCTGAAATCTGTCCATTAGACGCGCCGCTGCGTTAAGCCCGATTATGAAGCCGAGGCTCAGAGGCACAGAGTCAGAGTGTGTCAAGTCTATCTCAGTCTCACATCAGCCGCAGAGACCCCCGGAGTTGAACCACCAACCTCCCATGCACCTGGACCCCTGTGTGTGTGTGTGTCTGCGAAGTCCCTGCTCAGGGATGAAGGTCTGAGGAAGAGGAGATGGATCCCAAAGCATCCGGAGGAAAACGCTCGTCCCTGAAGCGCTCCACGTCCGGATCCCAGAGGGTAACGGTCTCTCTGCACACACACACACACACACAACACACACACACACACACACACACACACACACACACACACACACACACACACACGCATCACTGACAACACACTACTTTTCTCCGTGGCTTAGAAGGTTCTTTTGATAAGACAGAAAAGAAAGGAACGCTTATTTTTATGTATTAAAAGAACCTTAACATAAAAATACAAAATGTTTACGTTTCGTCCATATTTGAAAAACAGAGAAATGTTATTAGAAAAAATATTAGAAAGACTTACATTTTTTCCTCGACCAAGTAGTTCTTTGAAAAGCCAGGTGTATCTGAGTGCCATATAAATAATCTTTCACCCCTTGTTGAGCGAATCCTTTCAAAATGACTCCAATCCAATCATAAAACATTGTTGATTATTGCAGCTGAAGAAATACAACTTTTTGACACATTTTCCAAACGGACAAATCTGTTTTTGCAAATGAACTCTACGTTTCCTCTTCAGTTAGCAACTTTATGCTTCTTATCGCGCTAAAGCTGGAGATCTTATTCTTCATTCTTGCGTTTTCAGTTTTGCTAATATGAGTTTGACCTGTGTAAATGAGCGACATGAATGTGAGGTTTTAACAAATTGTGCTCGTTATGTCTTGATATTTTATGTATTTTGGCCAAATATAAACTGCAGATCTATGTATGTTTGTTATTTTAATGTAATATCGTAAAATCAGCCCAGGGACCACGGCTGGAAATTAGCCTTTGAGCTAAAACCTGGTAATATTATGTGACTTGGATCGTACGCGCGCTCTGATTGGCTGATATTTTCCCATCTCGGACCGTTACCATGACAATTGGTCAGCAGCGCGATCTTTCCTCAGTAAAAAAGACATAATGGGCGACGACTGGGAGCATTCTCAGTGAATTCTATTTTCCGGACGAGTTGGAAGAGCCAGAGGAAGTAATAACAGCAAATAACAATGAAAACACAACTCCAACAGTCAAGAAGAGATCGACAACTTTGTTACAAACCAGAAAGGTAAAACCAGGACCAGGAAAACCAAGTGGGACATGACCATCACAAATATGTAAAAAAGCATTGGTAAAGACACAGACTGAGAACTTACAGCGGGCGCCTCAATCCTCTGTTCTTCATGTCACAGTTTGACACTTTGGTCAAATGTGTTTTTAGTTGAAACTAGGGCTGTCCAAAATAGCGCGTTATTAACGCGTTAACGCAAATCAATATTAACGCCGTCATTTTTTTTATCGCGCGATAAAAAAAAAAAATAATTAAAAAAAAAGAATTTCTTTTTTTTTTTTTCTTTTTTTTTTTTTTATTGCAGACAAACACATATACAGAAAAAAAAATAGAAACAAAGAAAAGGACTAGTTCAGATACATTGTAGACAGAGATTACAAACAATATGTAGTTGGAGATACAGGGGGCCAAAGAAGAAACCCAGAAGGGCACATAGGAGGGGGGGGGGGGGGGGGCATGAAGTGGGAGATGGGGGGAGGGGTTAATAAAAAAGGCAATACAAGCAAACAGTATACAGTCATAGATATATCGAAGGTAAACAGAGAAACAGCATAGAGTATTTACATGAACAAATTTACAAAATATTTACAGATTGTTTATCATCATCATAATGACACCATGATGTTTCTATACAGTCTATGGTCTATACCCACACATACACACACACCCACACACACACATTGAAGGGGCTTTTTGTTACCAATTATTTATTTTGTCATCCATTTATTGATGATTTTGCATCAAATGTTAGTGTGTAATATAACACTACACATTGTTTTCAATAAAAAAGTAATTGCACACAGCACGCAAATGTGTGACTAATTTGCGATTAATCGCGAGTTAACTATGAAATTCATGCGATTAATCGCGATTAAATATTTTAATCGTTGGACAGCACTAGTTGAAACCGATCGATATTTGCACAAATTAAAAATCGTCGTATAATAAAACATTTATGAACCTCGCTTGCTCGGTTAATAAGTCGTTATTATACGATTAATAAATTATGATTATCAAAAGAACCTTACATTGAATCCATACTTACCTCACACTTCTGCTGCACAAGCCTCTAAATCAGGACACTTTCTATACAGCAGCTTGACTTCCCACAAACGTCATTTTCTCCTTTGTATTTACATTTATAGATTTAATTAATCATTTCTTAATTAGTTCAAGCGTGTCACCTTCTGTACACAGATTTCTAATTCTCAAAAGAAAATGTTAGCGCCTTAACCCACCACAGATGAAGAAAAATACCAAAATTAGGGTCTGACAGAATCAGAGCCAGTCAAGGTAGAAAATATCATAAAGATTCAGCTCAAAAATGTTTTATTTTGGGTATTTTTGAATCTGCGGAGGGTAAATATGACCCGAGGACTGACCTATTTTAGGGTTAATTTCTGCTGCAGTTTCAGAACAAAGTCTGTTCTGTGGATCTCCTGCTGTTTCAGGATTTGTCAGTGGAATTAGGGCCGTTGCTGCGTGATTTTAAAACGAACATATGCCTTTATATGTTTACAATACGTGGAAGATTGTATTGAAGATCAGATAAACTTTATTGATCTCACAATGGAGAAAGTTACACGTTATTTGGCATAATTAGAATCACTCTGGATGTCATTATATGTGTACTTTGATAAATACCAAAGTATAGATAAACCTCGCAGCGTTTCGGCAACAATAAAAAAATAATTTTAGGGTTTTGGTTCATTGTTGACAAGTCTGGATTTTACACCTGCATTGGTTCATACTGTGTCGGGAGTGAGAGATGCTGATTGGTCCGTGGGAAAAACGTGAACCAACGAATCTATCTTCAGCACACTGCAAAAAGTAAAGAAAAATAAGCCAAAAAATTGCTCAAATTTTGCAGAATGTGTCTTAATTTTAGCACATTCTGACTGAGCCTTTAAACAAGATTCTCCAATGGGACAGAGCAAAATCATCTTGTTTTAAAAATATACAGAAATGTCTCCCTTGGAATGAGGAAAAAAAACAACAGTTTTTGAAATAGGACTTTTAATCAGATTGTGTCAGATTATGATTAAAAAAACACTCGAGTCAAGCTTTTTTTTACCTCATATTTGATCACTTTTTGCAGTGTAGCTTTAGCATAATGAAGAAGCAGGTCTAAAATCTTCACTTTTATCATAATAAAAGTAAGTATAACCCACTGTAAACTCCGGTGCATTAAAAACATATATTTTACAAAAGCTGGTCTGTATCTCGTCACTTTCTCGTATACGTATCTTTTGTACCTTCTGGTCTTTGCGGCTGCAGTCTCTGTGTGTGTTTCTGAGAGAGAGGGAGCTGTGCACGTGCTCGTGTTAATCCGTGTAATGGTCCAGTGCTTGGGCCGGCTCACATTAGAACCTGGCTGTCTCTGTGGAGCCGCTCTCATGTGATTAACACATTCCAGCCGTTCTCCCCGAGCAAAAGTAACTGATGTGAGCAGATGTACGAGTCACGGGAAAATGCAAAAAGACTGAGAATGAATCCACATTATTCATATTATTGACATTATTTAAATTATTGACATTATTTAAATTATTCACATTATTTAAATGATTGACATTATTTAAATTATTCACATTATTTACATTATTGACATTATTTAAATTATTGACATTATTTACATTATTTAAATTATTTGCATTATTTAAATGATTTAAATTATTCACATTATTTAAATTATTTACATTATTCACATTATTTACATTATTTAAATGATTTACATTATTTACATTATTTACATTATTCACATTATTTACATTATTCACATTATTTACATTATTCACATTATTCACATTATGTCACATGGCGACAGTAGCTCAGTTGGTAGAGCATTGGCCTTTGGGCCTGAAGGTCGTGGGTTCAAGCCCACCATAAGACCTACTTCACGACTCCCACTGATGACTGCTGTCGTTGTGTCCTTGGGCAAGACACTTAACCCCACTTTGCCTGAAGCTCCCACTGAAAGTTCTCAGCTCCTGTGGACTCACCACCTGCAGGAGGATCAGTGAGGGGCTGGTGCTAAGTGGACTGGGTGCAGCTCTGACTGCCACCCCCCCGACCCAGAAATGGATTAAGGGGAAGAAAATGGATGGATGGATGGACATTATTCACATTATTTAAATGATTTACATTATTCACATTATTCACATTATTTACATTATTCACATTATTCACATTATTTACATTATTTTCACGTATCGTCTCGTTCCCTGTGGATTCTATTCTCTTCTCTTCTTTCTGAGGTTTCTATGTCTTTGTTAGTGTTTGTTTGAAATGATTGATTTTCTGATCGATAACTTTGCTGTTGTATTATTGGCCTCTATCCCATCTTTGGATCAGCGTTTTCAGACAGAAAAGTGACCGTGGTCTATTTCCCTGTCAATACCTTAAACTATACTTCCTTCCAACCATTCCACCTTAAGTGGGATTTTAAGCCATAAATATATTAAATCGTTTTAGGTTCAAAATGTAACTATTTAGTTTAGTACGATAAAATTCCGAGCTGTATCAGACTCAGTTCACTGGTTGATCTCCGTCCCCTCCCTCACCTCTGCTCATGAGCTCTGGGACTGAAAGGACGAGATCGCAGATATAATGGTTCATGTGAGTTTCCTCTGATAGAGAGATAGGGCTCAGTCATACGGAAGGAGCTCGGAGTAGAGCTGCTACTCCTCCACGTTGAGTGTCTCTGCTCAGACTGCTGCCCCGCGACCCGGCAACGGATAAAGCAAAAGAAAACGGATCGGTAGGGTAGAAAAAGCAGCTCTTTCAGTATTTTCAGATCTGCCCAAAGCAGCTGGCTCCACTCTGAGATAAAAGTAGAAGAAATAAGAAAATAATAAAGTGAGGTTAAACTTCATATAAAACGTAGTGAGAAAGTGAGATTTATGGACTTTCCGTAACCCCCGACTTGACTCCTCTGCAGTAAAGTGCTCGGTCCTTTTCCTTCATGTGGGGGACATACAGTAAGTGCACAAATGCTCTGTGCAGATTAATAATCTGTGTCTAATCCACGGCTGCGATACAGGATTTTACAGCAGAGCAATCAGAGCGAACGTGCCACACATTTAATAAGACCTGATGTGCTCTAAATATACACACAGAACAAAGTCTCCATTCTGTATCGCTCTGTGACCGTAGAGTCACCCCAGAGTCACTCTCGAGTCACTCCAGAGTCACTCTCGAGTCACTCCAGAGTCACCCAAGAGTCACTCCAGAGTCACCCCAGAGTCACTCCAGAGTCTTTCCAGTCACCCCAGAGTCGACCAAGAGTCACTCCAGAGTCACCCCAGAGTCACTCCAGAGTCTTTCCAGTCACCCCAGAGTCACCCTAGAGTCCCTCCAGAGTCACTCCAGAGTCACCCCAGAGTCACCCCAGAGTCATTCCAGAGACACCCCAGAGTCACTCCAGAGTCACTCCAGAGTCTCTCCAGAGTCACCCCAGAGTCAACCCAGAGTCACCCCAGAGTCATTCCAGAGTCACTCCAGAGTCACCCCAGAGTCATTCCAGAGTCACTCCAGAGTCACCACAGTCATTCCAGAGTCACTCCAGAGTCACCCCAGAATCATTCCAGAGTCACTCCAGAGTCACCCCAAAGTCATTCCAGAGTCACTTCAGAGTCACCCTAGAGTCACCCCAGAGTCATTCCAGAGTCACTCCAGAGTCACCCCAGAGTCGCAAATGGTCTCCCCAGAGTCACCCTAGAGTCACCCCAGAGTCACCCCAGAGTCTCTCCAGAGTCACCCCAGAGTCGCAAATGGTCTCCCCAGAGTCACCCTAGAGTCACCCCAGAGTCACCCCGGAGTCTCTCCAGAGTCACCCTAGAGTCACCCCAGAGTCATTCCAGAGTCACCCCAGAGTCACTCCAGAGTCATCCCAGAGTCACTCCAGAGTCATTCCGGAGTCACTCCAGAGTCATTCCGGAGTCACTCCAGAGTCATTCCGGAGTCACCCTAGAGTCACCCCAGAGTCACTCACCCCAGAGTTCTGATGACAGATTAGGGCCCTTTAATGATGACAGATTAGGGCCCTTTAATGATGACAGATTAGGGCTCTGTAATGATGACAGATTAGGGCCCTTTGATGATGACAGATTAGGGCCCTTTAATGATGACAGATTAGGGCCCTTTAATGATGACAGATTAGGGCTCTGTAGTGATGACAGATTAGGGCCCTGTATCGATGACAGATTAGGGCCCTTTAATGGTGACAGATTAGGCTCCTTTAATGATGACAGATTAGGGCCCTTGAATGATGACAGATTAATGATGACGGATTAGGGCCCTTTAATGATGACAGATTAGGGCCCTTTAATGATGACTGAAAAGGGCCCTTTAATGATGACAGATTAGGGCCCTTTAATGAGGACAGATCAGGGCCCTGTAATCATGACAGAGTAGGGCCCTTTAATGATGACAGATTAGGGCCCTGTAATGATGACAGATTAAGGCCCTGTAATGATGACAGACTAGGGCCCTGTAATCATGACAGATTAGGGCCCTGTAATCATGACAGATTAGGGCCCTTTAATGGTGACAGATTAGGCTCCTTTAATGATGACAGATTAGGGCCCTTGAATGATGACAGATTAATGATGACGGATTAGGGCCCTTTAATTATGACAGATTAGGGCCCTTTAATGATGACTGAAAAGGGCCCTTTAATGATGACAGATTAGGGCCCTTTAATGAGGACAGATTAGGGCCCTGTAATCATGACAGATTAGGGCCCTTTAATGATGACAGATTAGGGCCCTGTAATGATGACAGATTAAGGCCCTGTAATGATGACAGATTAGGGCCCTGTAATCATGACAGATTAGGGCCCTTTAATGATGACAGATTAGGGCCCTGTAATGATGACAGATTAAGGCCCTGTAATGATGACAGATTAGGGCCCTGTAATCATGACAGATTAGGGCCCTTTAATGATGACAGATTAGGGCCCTTTAATGATGACAGATTAGGGCCCTTTAATGATGACAGATTAGGGCCCCTTAATGATGACTGGACATGAAAAACATACATTATTCTGCTTTAAATGAATGTATGAATGTGGCGTCCTGCGGTGATGTGGTTAATTGCAGTCAGATGCCCCGGCCCTGACCGTGGCCTCAGACTCAGACCGACCCGGGTCTTATGACACCGAGTCTAACCAGAGACACGCTGCACTCGTGACGCTCCCACCCTCGGGACAAGGAGCCCTTTTACCCACAACAACAACACCCACTTCTGCCTCAGTCTGCGTCTCTCAGACATGTGAGCTGCATTTGGGTCCGGGGGCAGAGGAGAGGTGTGTGTGTGTGAGTGTGTGTGTGAGTGTGAGTGTGTGAGTGTGTGTTTGTGTGTGTGTGTGTGTGTGTGTGTGTGTGTGAGTGTGAGTGAGTGTGTGAGTGTGTGTTTGTGTGTGTGTGTGTGTGTGGGTCTGTGTGTGTGTGAGTGTGTGTTTGTGAGCGTGTGTGTGTGTGAGTGTGTGTTTGTGTGTGTGTGTGTGTGTGTGGGTCTGTGTGTGTGTGAGTGTGTGTTTGTGAGCGTGTGTGTGTGTGTTTGTGTGTGTGTGTGTCTGTGTGTGTGTGAGTGTGTGTGAGTGAGTGTGAGTGTGTGTTTGTGTGGGTCTGTGTGTGTGTGAGTGTGTGTTTGTGAGCGTGTGTGTGTGTGTGTTTGTGAGCGTGTGTGTGTGTGTGTGTGTGCGTGTGTGTGTGTTTGTGAGTGTGTGTGTCTGAGTGTGTGTTTGTGTGTGTGTGTGTGTGTGTGTGTGTCTGTGCGTCTGTGTGTGAGTGTGTGTTTGTGTGTGTGTGTGGGTCTGTGTGTGTGTGAGTGTGTGTTTGTGAGTGTGTGAGTGTGTGTGTCTGAGTGTGTGTCTGTGCGTGTGTGTGTGTGTGTCTGTGTGTTTGTGTGTGTGTGTGTGTGTGTGTGTGTGTGTGTGTGTGTGTGTGTGTGTGTGTGTGTGTGTGTGTGTGTGTGTGTGACAATGAAATGACAATGACTTTAGTCACTGGACAAAGACAGATGTTGCTGCTAACCAGAAAAACTTGTGACTTTGTGAGTAGCAGGAAGTCAGGAAATAGAAAATGTCGTTGCCTCTGGGTCCAAACAAGTTTTAAAATCCAAAGTAGAATAAGGCCGGGGTAAAAAGAAATAAAAAATCACAAAGTGCACAAACAACTCGGGTTTTTTTTTTGTATTCTATATTTGCTTCTTGATTATGCTAAAGCTAGAGATGTTATCCTTGCTTCTCATTCCCACTCGTCTAACTCCGGATGCAACACTGACATTTCTTCACCGTGACACCAAAGATCTTAGTTCCACTTACATTTGTATTTATATTTTTGTGTAACTGTTATAAATAGATTTTTTTCTTTCTCTTTCTTTCTCTGCACTAGTTAGCTTAGCACAGCTACACACAGACGCACGTACACACACCCACCCACACAGACGCACACACACACACACAAGCACACAGACACATACACACACACAGACACACACACACACACGCACACACACACAGACGCAAACTCTCTCACACTCTCTCACACACGCAATAGACGCGCACACACCCACCCACATACACAAAGATGCACAGACGCACGTACACATGTACACAAACACAGACGCATAGACGCACACACACACATACACCCACCCACACAGACGCACGCACACACATACACCCACCCACACAGACGCACAAACACACATACTGTACACCCACCCACACAGACGCACAAACACACATACACCCACCCACACAGACGCACACACACACATACACCCACCCACACAGACGCACATACACACACACACCCACCCAAACACACGCACACACACACACACACACACACACCCACCCACCCAAACACACGCACACACACACACACACATACGCACGCACACACACTCACACACCCCCACCCAAACACACACACACACACACACACACACACCCAAACACACACACACACACACACACACACCCAAACACACACACACACACAGCCTCTCTCCTGTGTCGTTGTATTGTTTCTCTAATCTGTGTTAATGCGACTGGTGTGACAGAGATTTCCCAAATTCTCAAAGCTTTTCATTTCCAAAGTAGTTGAGATTGTGCGACATTTTGATACAACGTTACAAGACAAGAAGCAAACAACACAAAAAGATTCAGGCCAAAAAAGGAGAGTTCAACAAAGCGTGATCCGGGCTCTGGGGGAAGAACCGGAGACTTTAGTTTATGGTCTTAGAGTTGACCTAAAACATATTGTGTGTCTGATTCTCTGATCTGTTGTCGGCGAATCGACGGTTTTGTAAAGTCCTCTGAGAAAACTACTGTTGTGATGTAGGGCCACACTAAGATTTAATTGCAATGAAAGAGAAGAAACTAGAAGGTAACCTCACAGCAAAAAGGTTCTGGGTTCGATTCCACCTCCAGGCTTTTCTGTGTCGGGTTTGCATGTTCTTCTCATGTCTGGGTAGGTTTCCTCTGGGTGCTCCGGTTTCCCTGACCGCTAAAACCATGTACAGGTCTGGCATGTGCCTCCTGTATGGACACCCTGCTTCCATCTCTGTGTGAAGAGAGACAAAAATGCCCAAAAAACAACAATTGTAAAGCTCTTTGTGACTGGTCTGTAAAAGAGACTATATCAGTGTGTCTAAAGAATTTGGTCATAAAACGTAGAAAGAGAAAGGACTGACTTCCAGGTTATAAAACTCAGAGCAATAGTGAATATGGATTTTAAAAGTGGATGCTGTTAGTTATGTTTATTTTCTAACATAACTAACAAGGCTCCTCACGGAAAGAATGCACCCAATTCTACCAATTATGCAAACGAGTATTGAATCAAAGTGGCAGCGAAGAAGAAGAAGAAGAAGCAGCCAGTAAGAAAGAAACAAGTGGCAACAAATGAGAGATTAGGGGCCACTTATCAAAGTTGATTTCTCGTGGGCCGGGGAGGGTCATGGGACTCCCAAAAGGATTACCTTCCACTGCAGTCATGGGACCGGCCCAACAAAGAGCTGCTCACATGCCCCGTGTATTAAAGTGGAGTTTGAAGTCGGACGTCTCATAGAGGAGCTGAGGAGGAGCTGAGGAGGAGCTGAGGAGGAGCTGAGGAGGAGATGAGGAGGAGATGAGGAGGAGATGAGGAGGAGCTGAGGAGGAGATGAGGAGGAGCTGAGGAGGAGATGAGGAGGAGATGAGGAGGAGATGAGGAGGAGATGGAAAACCTGGGTATTTGCCGTTACAGAAATATTCAGGGAGAGAATTGAGAAAGCGAGAAAGCCGTTTACACCCGTCTGGTGAGTTGTATTTTGTGCTAATGGCGAGAGTTTGGAAAGAGGGTGTTGGTAAATGTTGGGGAGAAAATGCCAGAGGGAGAAAAGCAACTTGTGTTTTCTTGTGTTTTATTTAATTGCATTCACAACAATCTGGGGATTTTTGCCTCTGGGTTCCCGCCCTTCTCTCTGTCACAAGATTCAAATCAACATTTTGTGAAAAGTTATTTAATGTGACGAGTCACATCCTGGTTCCAACACTCTTTAGGACTGAGGGGGACATATATAACTGTAAATATTTGTGTTTTTGGCGTATATACAGTATCTTATGAGTATCTCTAATGTGTTCTCTCTCTCTCTCTGACTTCTTCTTCAGGCGCAGAAAGCTTGGATCGATCGGACGTTTTGCAAAAGAGAATGTGTCAATATCTTTCCCAGCAAGGACCCACTGAGGCAAGTTCAAAAGTCACATTCAACTTTTAATAATCGTGACTTCATTTGTCAAATGTCTTTTAGTTGTTGGTGCGATTTACAGCGCTCAGATTCAAGGTATTTTCAGACCTTCAAAAAAAAAAGATTTATAAACAAAACTAAAATCCACCGCGGTATATTTCACAGACCGACCGGCAAAGAAAAAAACATGCATAAATATATTTTAAAGCGTTTATGGTTGGATTGTTGCTTGTGCCAATGTCAGATTTATCGGTATGGCACGTTTACAGCAGCTGCCCAGAGAAAGCCAAACGGGTCTGTGTGGTCTGTGTCTGGAGCTTGGACCAGGAGCCTCCGCTGCTGTGTCTTAAGCCAATGTTTTCAATTCAAAATAATAAAACACATTTTAGGGGAATGCTGATTTGCCGACACAGATTAGAGAATCAAAGACACGCAATGATAAAAAAACACACAGAGACATTGGTCCATTAGGGGCAGAGATTAACACATAATAAATTTAAAAAATGCTTAAATTCGGCAAAATGTAGCTTAATCTGAGTACATTCTGACTGAGCCTTAAAACTAGATTCTCCAAAGGGACAAAACTAAATTATCTTGTGTTAAAAAGATACAGAAAGCAGTTCTTGACCCGTTGGAGAATCTGGTTTTAACAAAATCACAATGTACTTAAATTAGAATAAAACTCACAAAATGTCAGTTTTTTTTTTACCTCATATTTTGTCCATAAATAGTCATTTACTTGTTCAGACCCAGTGAGAGCTGCATGTTCCCATCTGTTTTAAGAGTTTTTCATTTGATTTGAAAGAGTGGTGTGATATATCTCTGGGTTTTAACTGTTTTAAATATAAATGCATTTGTAAATACATAATGATGTGGTAAATATACAACACAAGGTGAAACTAGGGCAAGAACTGTTAGATAGATAGATTATAGATAGATAGATTATAGATAGATAGATTATAGATAGATAGATGGATAGATTTATAGATAGATAGATTATAGATAGATAGATTTATAGATAGATAGATTTATAGATAGAGTGGGGTGACAGTGGCTCAGTTGGTAGAGCATTGGCCTTTGAGCCTGAAGGTCGTGGGTTCGAGCCCACCTCAAGACCTACTTCACGACTCCCACTGATGACTGCTGTCGTTGTGTCCTTGGGCAAGACACTTAACCCCACTTTTCCTGAAGCCCTCACTGAAAGATCTCAGCTCCTGTGGACTCAGCACCTGCAGGAGGATCAGTGAGGGGCTGGTGCTCTGTGGACTGGGTGAAGCTCTGACTGCCACCCCCGACCCAGAAATGGATTAAGGGGAAGAAAATGGATGGATGGATGGATGGATTATAGATGGATAGATAGATTTATAGATAGATAGATTTATAGATAGATAGATTATAGATAGATAGATTTATAGATAGATAGATAGATTTATAGATAGATTGATTTATATATAGATAGATTTATAGATAGATAGATAGATAGATTTATAGATAGATACATAGATTTATAGATTGATAGATAGATAGATAGATAGATTTATAGATAGATAGATTATAGATGGATAGATAGATATAGATAGATAGATTCATAGATTCATAGATAGATAGATAGATAGATAGATTTATAGATAGATAGATTTATAGATAGATAGATTTATAGATAGATAGATTATAGATAGATAGATTTATAGATGGATAGATAGATGGATAGATAGATAGATAGATAGATAGATAGATTTATAGATAGATAGATTATAGATGGATAGATAGATATAGATAGATAGATTCATAGATTCATAGATAGATGGATGGATAGATAGATTTATAGATAGATAGATTCATAGATAGATAGATAGATTTATAGATAGATTTGAAAAAGGATCCATTGTATGTTATATATTTGCATGTTTAAGTTTGCAGTGTGCGCACAGAAGGAAACATGTATAAACAGTCATGTAAACTAAGAAATGTAAATATTGTAAAAAATGTCTGCTCGAATGAATAAAACGAATGAATGAACTTCTCCAGATGTGCCTGCGGTCAGCTCAACAACCAGCACGTGGCCATCCCTCCCGGGGCCACGTCTCTGGAGGAGCACAGCGGCGCCATGATCGACCCGACCAAAGACAAGTGGACCGTGGTCAAACACACGCGGACCTACCCCACCGACGCCTACGGCATGATCGAGTTCCAGGGCGGGGGCTTCGTCAACAAGGCCATGGTGAGTCCAACAGACACAGACATGTTCTGTACTTTTATAGATATTAGTGCTGGGGGAAAAAATCGATTCTGTAAAGTATTGCGATATTTTGTAGTTAAATCGATTCAGTTCCAAAGTTTCGTGATGATTTTGATTCAATATTTATCTGTAACTTTTGTGTTTTCTCTGAGTTTACTTTGTCATTTCCATCTGAGGTTTCTGTTCCTCTGTGACGTTTGTCCCTCCTCAGTGTTTTCTTCAGTTCATAAAGACCATTAAACAGTTTTCCTCAGTCGCTTTAGTGCCTTTCTCACTCTCTGTTTTACAGTGAAAACACAGAGAGACTTTCACAATGAGAACATGACATGTGACTGTTGTTCATACTCAATGTTGTTAGGACATATTATTCTGAGACACAGAATCATCGACCTGAAGACTTGCTTTTGAGGAATTAACTTTTCATTTTGAGAAAGTGACTTTTGCAGGTTATCCACGAGGTTTTGCAGTTTGCACTAATTGTTCTGAGAAATGCACCAACTGTTGTGCAAATGTGAAGAATGCACCAAAGACACTGAAAAAAACTGTAAATAATGAGGGACATGAATCGCAATATATCGTCGAATCGAATCACAATACTGGCTGTATCGCTGTATGTAAAGAATAGAAATCTTGGCCCAAATATTGCAATATCAATGAATTTTCACATTTTTTGGTGATAAACTACTACTGTAGCCACAGCTGCCCTGGGGCACACTGACAGAAGCGAGGCAACCAGTCTGTGTCATCGGTCCCTCCCACCACCACCAACCATTCACACACACACCAGACTCATTCTAATGTGGGGGAAGTGTCTTGCCTAAGGACTCAATGGCAGTTTGGCACTTTCCAGCTGCAGCCTGCTGTTCCCAGAGGTTAAGTGTCTTGCCCAAGGACACAACGACAGCAGACATCAGTGGGAGTCAGTGGTGAAAGTCTTGTCTTTTAGAGTTTGCCGATACCTTCCTCAATACAGAACACATTCACATTGATTCAATTTATTTCCACTAAAACATAACAAACATTTCTGCCAAGGCCAAATGTTTCCATCATGATCCACCTCGATACTAGTCGGCACGGTGGCTGAGTGGATAGCACTCTCGCCTCTCAGCAAGAAGGTCCTGGGTTCGAATCCCAGTCGGACCAGGGCCTTTCTGAGTGGAGTTTGCATATTCTCCCCGTGTCTGCGTAGGTTTCCTCCGGGTACTCCGGTTTCCCCTACCACTAAAAATATGTCCAATAGTTCTGGCATGTGCCTCCTGTACTGGCCCCTCCCATCTCTGTGTGGAGTGAGAGACAAATGCCCAAAAATTAACAATTGTAAATCGCTTTGAGACTCAGATCTGCAGTGAAAAGGCGGTATATAAATAAATATTACTTACTACTTACTACTAATCTACACCGTACTCAACACTAAAAAGGTGAATTGTTCTGGTTGCAGTACATTCGCTGCACGTTCGACACCAAAGTGGACCACCTCCTGCACCTGATGGTGAAGGACTGGCAGCTGGAGCTCCCCACGCTCCTCATCTCGGTCCACGGAGGTCTGCAGAACTTCGACCTCCCCCCGAAACTCAAGCAGGTCTTTGGGAAGGGTCTGATCAAAGCCGCCGTCACCACCGGAGCCTGGATCTTCACCGGGGGAGTCAACACTGGTAATGCCCCTCTGCAGAGCCAGGCTTTAGGGCATTATCCGAATTGTGATTGAATAACACCTCCCAGTCATTTACTAAGAGAGATTTGCCCCGTTTTAATTAAACTCAACGTTGTGTGTTGTGTGTTTGCTGCTTTTGTCCCACTCTGGCCTTTGTTTTCAGCTCAAAACTCAAAACTTTAAATATAGATTATGTGGGAGAGGGAAGGGCTATGCTCAAGGACACAACCACCAGCCTCTAGTTTATTAGTCTCAAACAAACCGGTTATCATAGAACTCATGTAGAAGATTCTTGGATCTATGTATGTAAAGGCAAGACAAGTTCTGTATGGTTCTGTATGGTTCTGTATGGTTCTGTATGGTTCTGTATGGTTCTGTATGGTTCTGTCTGGTTCTGTATGGCACAGTTCACTTGCTCCTTTATCATGCTACATTTCAAGATTTTTTTATTGTTCACTTTTGCTCCTCATTCCTACTGTTCTGATGAAACACTGAACATTTCCCATGTTTAGTTCTGACTCTGGGACCAGCAGGAGGCCAGTCCCTGTGCTCCTCAGAGTCCCAGCAGGAGGCCAGTCCCTGTGCTCCTCAGAGTCCCAGCAGGAGGCCAGTCCCTGTGCTCCTCAGATCCCAGCAGGAGGCCAGTCCCTGTGCTCCTCAGAGTCCCAGCAGGAGGCCAGTCCCTGTGCTCCTCAGAGTCCACAGCAGGAGGCCAGTCCCTGTGCTCCTCAGAGTCCCAGCAGGAGGCCAGCCCCTGTGCTCCTCAGAGTCCCAGCAGGAGGCCAGTCCCTGTGCTCCTCAGAGTCCCAGCAGGAGGCCAGTCCCTGTGCTCCTCAGAGTCCACAGCAGGAGGCCAGTCCCTGTGCTCCTCAGAGTCCCAGCAGGAGGCCAGTCCCTGTGCTCCTCAGAGTCCCAGCAGGAGGCCAGTCCCTGTGCTCCTCAGAGTCCACAGCAGGAGGCCAGTCCCTGTGCTCCTCAGAGTCCCAGCAGGAGGCCAGTCCCTGTGCTCCTCAGAGTCCCAGAAGGAGCCAGTCCCTGTGCTCCTCAGAGTCCCAGCAGGAGCCAGTCCCTGTGCTCCTCAGAGTCCCAGCAGGAGGCCAGTCCCTGTGCTCCTCAGAGTCCCAGCAGGAGGCCAGTCCCTGTGCTCCTCAGAGTCCCAGCAGGAGCCAGTCCCTGTGCTCCTCAGAGTCCCAGCAGGAGACCAGTCCCTGTGCTCCTCAGAGTCCCAGCAGGAGGCCAGTCCCTGTGCTCCCTCAGAGTCCCAGCAGGAGGCCAGTCCCTGTGCTCCTCAGAGTCCCAGCAGGAGGCCAGTCCCTGTGCTCCTCAGAGTCCCAGCAGGAGGCCAGTCCCTGTGCTCCTCAGAGTCCCAGCAGGAGACCAGTCCCTGTGCTCCTCAGAGTCCCAGCAGGAGACCAGTCCCTGTGCTCCTCAGAGTCCCAGCAGGAGACCAGTCCCTGTGCTCCTCAGAGTCCCAGCAGGAGACCAGTCCCTGTGCTCCTCAGAGTCCCAGCAGGAGACCAGTCCCTGTGCTCCTCAGAGTCCCAGCAGGAGACCAGTCCCTGTGCTCCTCAGAGTCCCAGAAGGAGCCAGTCCCTGTGCTCCTCAGAGTCCCAGCAGGAGCCAGTCCCTGTGCTCCTCAGAGTCCCAGCAGGAGGCCAGTCCCTGTGCTCCTCAGAGTCCCAGCAGGAGGCCAGTCCCTGTGCTCCTCAGAGTCCCAGCAGGAGCCAGTCCCTGTGCTCCTCAGAGTCCCAGCAGGAGACCAGTCCCTGTGCTCCTCAGAGTCCCAGCAGGAGGCCAGTCCCTGTGCTCCTCAGAGTCCCAGCAGGAGGCCAGTCCCTGTGCTCCTCAGAGTCCCAGCAGGAGGCCAGTCCCTGTGCTCCTCAGAGTCCCAGCAGGAGGCCAGTCCCTGTGCTCCTCAGAGTCCACAGCAGGAGGCCAGTCCCTGTGCTCCTCAGAGTCCCAGCAGGAGGCCAGTCCCTGTGCTCCTCAGAGTCCCAGAAGGAGCCAGTCCCTGTGCTCCTCAGAGTCCCAGCAGGAGCCAGTCCCTGTGCTCCTCAGAGTCCCAGCAGGAGGCCAGTCCCTGTGCTCCTCAGAGTCCCAGCAGGAGGCCAGTCCCTGTGCTCCTCAGAGTCCCAGCAGGAGCCAGTCCCTGTGCTCCTCAGAGTCCCAGCAGGAGACCAGTCCCTGTGCTCCTCAGAGTCCCAGCAGGAGGCCAGTCCCTGTGCTCCTCAGAGTCCCAGCAGGAGGCCAGTCCCTGTGCTCCTCAGAGTCCCAGCAGGAGGCCAGTCCCTGTGCTCCTCAGAGTCCCAGCAGGAGGCCAGTCCCTGTGCTCCTCCAGAGTCCCAGCAGGAGACCAGTCCCTGTGCTCCTCAGAGTCCCAGCAGGAGACCAGTCCCTGTGCTCCTCAGAGTCCCAGCAGGAGACCAGTCCCTGTGCTCCTCAGAGTCCCAGCAGGAGGCCAGTATTCCCACAGTGTGTTACAGTGATAGGTGTGTTTTCCACAGGTGTGATCCGTCATGTGGGAGATGCTTTGAAGGACCACTCCTCAAAGTCTCGGGGTAAAGTCTGTGCCATCGGGATCGCTCCGTGGGGAATCCTGGAGAACAAAGAGGACCTTCTGGGAAAAGACGTAGGGATCTGTTCAGGGTTAAAGAGTGTGCGGTACCCGGCCCACATTCGCTCACCTGCCCTCCCTCTCTCTCTCTCTCTCTCCTCAGGTTACTCGACCGTACCAGACCATGGCTAACCCGCTCAGTAAGCTAGCAGTGCTAAACAACAGCCACTCTCACTTCATTCTGACGGATAACGGCACCTGTGGGAAGTACGGCTCGGAAGTCAAAATACGCCGCATGCTGGAGAAACACATCTCTCTGCAGAAGATCAACACACGTGAGTTTTGTCGAAAGAAAGAAGTTCACCCCTGTTTAGTCTCCTTCTCCGGATAGATACAGAGATAGATAGATACAGAGATAGATACAGAGATAGATACAGTAGATAGATAGATAGATAGATAGATAGATAGATAGATAGATAGATAGATAAAGAGATACTCTATTGATCCCGAAGGAAATTGTGCATTAGTTCCTTCCTCACATTCATACAAACATATATAGTAGCGTTAAAAGATTTAAAAGTGTTAAAAGTTAAAAAACATAACTAAAAATGACAATAAATACACAAAAGATGTACACACCAGAAAGAGAGAGATGGTATTGTTCCATGTAGAGCACATTAAAAGTTACAAGATAAAATATCAGGTAATAATTGCTTGAATTGAGTGTTCTTTTTTTAATCTTTCAGCACAAAAGGGTTAAGCAATCATCCCGTCATATTTGATCCTTTTTTGTGACAGCTGTATATATGGTGTTTGGGCTTTTTGAGATCATCCACAGAAACTCTGCAGATGCTGCTCCGCTGTGACCCATGGGCTTCCCTTTGTCATCCTATGCCTGGAGCTCAGAGAAGGCAGGGACAGCAATGGGAAGCCCAGAGGTCGCCCCAGACTCCAGGTCAGGATGGTGCAAGAGTGTGGCCAGCTTCAAGTCTCCTCTAACGCTTTTATTATCAGCACTACACAGCACTGCAGGATCACGACAACAGTTTAATACATGGCCAATGGCTCTACTGCATGTGTTTGATTCTCTGATCTATGTTGGTGAATTTGACAGGTTTGTGCAGTTCTCCGTTGTGATTTAGGGCTATACAAAAACATTAAATTGAATTGAATAATAATCTAATAATACTTCAGTGCCATGTATAGACCTCACTCATTAATATTGTTAAAGGTATATCGGAGGATTTTCAACTTCCGGGTGGATCCTCAAGACTATTGGTCCTCCTAAGTGTCAATTATTCTGGTGATACGTGCTTGTCAAATAAGACCAGAGAGTTTATTCAAAAAGTGGAGAGGGCGGTTCTTTCCCTAAAATTTGGGAAAATCCTCCTAAATACCTTTAAGTGATTTTAACTCATTGACTGCCAGCCCATTTCAGAACAGGTACTCCCATATTGCCAGCCGTTTCTGATGGTTTTTACTGATTTTTAAAGACCCACAGAATATTGTGTACTATGACTATCTGAAATCCGACTGTCTACTTTCATCAGCAAAAAGAATTTTGTTTATAGCTTTTTTCGTTCCCCTGTAATCCTCCGTCGAGTAGAGGGAAGTTTTACTGAAATCACCAGAAAGTTGAGAAAAAAGAGGCACCACAAGTGCACCTAACTGTTTTCAAACCATTCAGAGAGCAATGCTGCCACCTGCTGGCTCGATAAAATATGGTCTCAAGTCATCCCCATACATATTAGATACAATAGACATCTGGGAACGTGAAAATAGCAAAAAAGGCATTTGACGTATTAATGCGTCAATGGCACACAATAAAGTGTAGTAGTAAAAATTTGTTATCAATTAGAGAAATAATTACTTGACATTGGATTAATTGCGCGACCCTCCCGGAGCCATCTTGTGTAAACATCTGTTAGCAACACAATGCTAACAGCTGTATCTGTAAGTCGACGTCCCGAGCTCTAACCCATGTCCCTGTGTGTCTTGTGCGGCAGGTCTGGGGCAGGGGGTCCCTCTGGTGTGTCTGATCGTGGAGGGGGGTCCTAACGTGATCTCTATCGTGCTGGAGAGTCTGCGAGACGACCCGCCCATCCCCGTGGTGGTGTGCGACGGCAGCGGGAGGGCATCTGACATCATCTCCTTTGCTCACAAGTTCTCAGAGGAAGGAGGGTGAGACGAGCCATAAGCATAAACCAAACCATAACTTAGCTCTTTTTGCACACAGATTTAACAGTCCATTAATCATATACTAGGTTGCAAAAGATGGCAAATTACCAAAAAACAGGAGTTAATTAACTGGGAATTTTCACATTCGAGGGTTTACTCTTCATAGGAAACTTGAATTTAGTTGAGGAAAGTATATTTTAGCATAATCTTGACTAAACAAAACAGATTCTGCCAATCAAATACACTCAAATATCCATGCCGTTCATCTGTGGACATGGACATGGCAGACTGCTGAGACTACGCCCCCTACTGGGACTGTCCATGTCTCCATCACATGCTATTCAAAAATAAACGGAATTGAAGAAAGCTTTGATTACATTATGGGTCTACCTCCCGGCGATGGCATTTATAGTAGCTCACCGAATTCCCCAGCTTAACTTCTCACCAACATTTACCGGAAACTTTAGGAAAATGGTACTGGAAATTTGCCACCCCTTTTAAACTCTACTCATATACAAGCACGACTTCTAGCAGAGAACAACAGAAAGAGGTTATGAGGAAGTTGAATTGCCTGTACGACATTTGTGAGTATGTCTGATTTTGATTTACTCTTGCGTTTGCCTTTTTTCAGTCTGGTTAGCGATGACGTCCGAGACCAACTCCTGGTGACCATCCAGAAAACCTTCAACTACGGCAAAAGCCAGTCCCAACAAATTCTCCTCATGGTCATGGAGTGTATGAAGAAGAGGGAGCTGGTAAGTCGGGTCATGTACGGCCTAGAATCTTCATTAAAATGCCATCATACTACACTTGCACATGTAATATTACCATCAATAAAGGTTGACATGTCCAGTCCATGGTGTCTGTGGTCATCCCTTCTTTCCGCTGGTGTGTTCCCATTAACATATTGAATAAACATAATCCTCTGGACCTTCTGGTCCTTCTTGTTCATGTGTCGTATAATCCACCCATCACTGCATCACCGTCAAGCTCTCAGCTGCTAAGTGCTAGCATGTATTTCAATCCGCGTCGATAAAGATAAAGTCTATATTTAATATGCACATTTGGACACATCTTTGCTGATTAATTCGTAGAAGTGTCATCGCAAGAACTTGAGCCATTAAGTGGTGTTGCGTTTGGTTTTTTTTCTATGATTAGTAGTTCGTGATATGGTCGCAGTACATTTAGGTGGGAAAGAGCAGCCTTAGCCCCTGCTTAGTGCTGGATCTGTAAGCACGACCACAGATGGAGGATGGCATAGTAATCCTTAACAGAGATCCACCGAGCTAGCTCTATGATGCCGTATTAGACACGGTACACTTAGCGGGTACTTTTGAAGCTGTCCTGTAGGTTTGGGCTAAAGGAGGTAAGTAAGTAAGTAGGCTTTATTTATATACCGCCTTTCACAGACCAGAGTCTCGAAGCGTTTTACAATTGGTATTTTTTGGGCATTTGTCTCTCACTCCACACAGAGATGGGAGCGGGGTCGCCGAACAGGAAGCACATGTACAGACCTATTGTACATATTTTTAGTGGTAGGGGAAACCGGAGTACCCGGAGGAAACCTACGCAGACACAGGGAGAACATGCAAACTCCACTCAGAAAGGCCCTGGTCCGGCCGGGATTCGAACCCAGGACCTTCTTGCTGAGAGGCGAGAGTGCTATCCACTCAGCCACCGTACCGCCCACAAAAGCTGGTGGAAGGCGTGATGGCGTTGCTGATTTGAACGGCGTACAAGCAACTAAGAGGCGTGTGTTGAATTGGGGTAAAGTGGTGTCATTGTCTGGCCTTACATAATCCTAAGTGCATCCACTTGGAACAGCTGGGCAACACGAAACACACAAAACTACTTTGGTCTAGTGATATAACGGCAGACATGTGTGGCGTGAGTTTTTTTCAATGGCGCACTTACTTTACACGTTCAACCTTAGAGTCCACTGTGCAAAACTGTTTCTATTCATAATTCCTGCATCTCAATACAGCTTGTTCAAGAAAGAGTTCCCCAAGGTCGACAGTATGAAGGCGAGGATTGCTTGAAGGAGAGACCAAAACAGATGGATTTCACCAAAAGAAACTGGCAAGCCTAATCAAGACTGGTGTGATAAACATTCTGCCTTCTGATTGGATACTTGGCTTGAGAACCAGAATGGAAAAAACATAAATAATGTAGCCACTATGAGCAATGGGTGGCGACAAGTTTGGGTTTTGTGGGGATTTTGGTGTCCCTTGACTTCTAAATTATTATAAATCCACACTTAAGTGCTACAAGCTGCTCACTTTTCGCTCTGATTGGTCAGAACAGTCACATGTTACTCCGGTCCTGCGGAAGTAGAACCACCGCACACCTACTGCACTAGACCAGGAGAACCAGAGCTGGAGAGACCAGAGAGAGGGAGACCAGAGAGAGAGAGAGAGACCAGAGGGAGAGAGAGACCAGCGAGAGAGGGAGAGAGAGAGACAGCGAGAGAGGGAGACCAGAGAGAGAGAGAGAGAGAGAGAGAGACCAGAGGGAGAGAGAGACCAGCGAGAGAGGGAGAGAGAGAGACAGCGAGAGAGGGAGACCAGAGAGAGAGAGAGAGAGAGAGAGAGACCAGCGAGAGAGGGAGACCAGAGAGAGAGAGAGAGAGAGAGAGAGACCAGCGAGAGAGAGAGACCAGCGAGAGAGGGAGAGAGAGAGACAGCGAGAGAGAGAGACCAGAGAGAGAGAGAGAGACCAGCGAGAGAGGGAGACCAGAGAGAGAGAGAGAGAGACCAGCGAGAGAGGGAGAGAGAGAGACAGCGAGAGAGAGAGACCAGAGAGAGAGAGAGAGACCAGCGAGAGAGGGAGACCAGAGAGAGGGAGACCAGAGAGAGAGAGAGAGAGACCAGCGAGAGAGAGGGAGACCAGAGAGAGGGAGACCAGAGAGAGAGAGAGAGAGAGAGAGAGACCAGCGAGAGGGAGACCAGAGAGAGAGAGGGAGAGAGACAGACCAGCGGGAGAGGGAGACCAGAGAGAGAGAGAGAGAGAGAGAGAGAGACCAGCGAGAGAGGGAGACCAGAGAGAGAGAGGGAGACCAGAGAGAGAGGGAGACCAGAGAGAGAGAGAGAGACCAGCGAGAGAGGGAGACCAGAGAGAGAGAGAGAGAGAGACCAGCGAGAGAGAGGGAGACCAGAGAGAGAGAGAGAGAGAGAGAGAGACCAGCAAGAGAGAGGGAGACCAGAGAGAGAGAGAGAGAGAGAGAGAGACCAGAGCGAGAGACCAGCGAGAGAGAGAGACCAGAGAGAGAGAGAGAGACCAGAGAGAGAGAGAGAGACCAGAGAGAGAGAGAGACCAGAGAGAGAGAGAGAGACCAGCGAGAGAGAGAGAGACCAGAGAGAGAGAGAGAGAGAGAGAGAGAGACCAGCGAGAGAGAGGGAGACCAGAGAGAGAGAGGGAGACCAGAGAGAGAGAGAGAGACCAGCGAGAGAGAGGGAGACCAGCGAGAGAGAGAGAGAGAGAGAGAGACCAGCGAGAGAGGGAGACCAGAGAGAGAGGGAGACCAGAGAGAGAGAGGGAGACCAGAGAGAGAGAGGGAGACCAGAGAGAGAGAGAGACCAGAGAGAGAGAGAGAGAGAGAGACCAGCGAGAGAGGGAGACCAGAGAGAGAGAGAGAGAGAGAGAGAGAGAGAGAGAGACCAGCGAGAGAGGGAGACCAGAGAGAGAGAGAGAGAGAGACCAGCGAGAGAGGGAGACCAGAGAGAGAGAGAGAGAGAGGGAGACCAGAGAGAGAGAGGGAGACCAGAGAGAGAGGGAGACCAGAGAGAGAGAGAGACCAGAGAGAGAGAGAGAGAGACCAGCGAGAGAGGGAGAGACCAGAGAGAGAGAGAGAGAGAGAGACCAGCGAGAGAGGGAGCTGACCAGAATGCACCACTTCTGCTAATGTTTGGTGTGAGCACAGGGCACTTATTTGAATGGGCAGACATTTTGGAGACCAGGGGCAGACATCTTGAAAACCCTTGGCCAGACATCTTGAAAGCCCTGAGGCAGACATCTTGGAAACCCTGGGCAGACATCTTGGAGACCTGGGGCAGACATCTTGGAAACCCTGGGCAGACATCTTGGAGACCAGGGGCAGACATCTTGAAAACCCTTGGCCAGACATCTTGAAAGCCCTGAGGCAGACATCTTGGAAACCCTGGGCAGACATCTTGGAGACCAGGGGCAGACATCTTGGAGACCAGGGGCAGACATCTTGGAAACCCAGGGCAGACATCTTGGAGACCTGGGGCAGACATCTTGGAGACCCAGGGCAGACATCTTGGAGACCAGGGGCAGACATCTTGGAAACCCAGGGCAGACATCTTGGAGACCAGGGGCAGACATCTTGGAGACCAGGGGCAGACATCTTGGAGACCTGGGGCTTACCATGAGCACTGTTTTTGTATTGAATTATTCAGCCTTAACATATTGACTAGAAAAGACTAAATATCATTGAGTTTGGCATATTATAACACATTATTTTAAATAACCTTGTGTCTGGACACACAGATTAAAGATCCCTTTGATTCAGGAACTTTTGTCGGCAGCATTGAATCATGGGTTCAATGGAACAGAAAACCACTAACAAAAGAAACTCCATGCCTCATAATTCATCTGTAAATGTGACTCCATCCTTAAAACTAATGCTTGGTGGAACAAAGAAACTCCACCTCAAGAAAAATCTATTTGAGCAAATGTAAATGTATGTATCTAAATGGAGACAAGCGGAACAATGGAAACGCAAATGAAGAATTAACTTAATTAACGCAAAAGTGTCAATTTTTTCAATTCAATTTCAATCCATCAATTTATTTCAGACATTTTTGACTATTCAAAAACAATTTTGGGCACTTGAGAAAAAAATGTCAACATAAAGAGACATGTTTAATGCTTATAACCAGCAGATGAATGATTCTAATTGTGAGTGTGTTAGCCCCTTTAAGTTTCTACTTTCTATGCACTTCAGATTACTGTGTTTCGAATGGGTTCAGAAGGACAGCAGGACATCGAAATGGCCATTCTCACAGCTTTGCTAAAAGGTAGCGCACCATCACACCATCAGCCCACTGCCATTATGAATTCTGACTTTATTCTGTCTCGTTTCACCGCATCAGGTACAAATGCATCTGCCCCAGACCAGCTCAGTTTGGCTCTGGCCTGGAACCGAGTGGACATTGCTCGGAATCACATTTTTGTGTATGGACATCATCTACCAGTGAGTGTTTTTAAGCTTTGGAGACGTAGCCAGTCAGATTTTGAGATTTTAAGAACGAATACAAAGACACAATAACAGTTTTAGCGACACATTGTTATGGATAAACATAGACCAGTCCAATCAGAGACTATGGTGTGTTTGTAGCCGGCTGGAGCCCTGGCTAACACTGCGACCGGAGCAGCGTCTCAAGAGAAACAGAAGAGTCCTGCGAGCGGCCCGCGGAATAAGGCCCGAGCCAAGAAGGGAAAAGGAAAAGGAAAAGCCAAACCAGAGCCACCAGAGGAGACCGACCCACGCAAACTGGAACTCATCCGCTGGGTATGTCACAAGACTGTTAATTTCACCCGCCGGTGCTGACCCGCCGGTGCTGACCCGCCGGTGCTGACCCGCCGGTGCTGACCCGCCGGTGCTGACCCGCCTCTGCCTCCACAGGTGAACTCTCTGGAGCAGGCCATGATGGATGCTCTGGTCTTGGACAGAGTGGACTTTGTGAAGCTGCTTCTGGAGAACGGGGTAAACATTCACCACTTCCTGACTATTCCGCGACTGGAGGAACTCTACAACACAGTGAGCAAACGACGCATTTTAAGATTCACAAAGAAATGTCACGATTCACCAAATAATCTGTGTTTTTACTTCAAGAAACTGGGCCCAGCGAACACTCTGCATCCAGTGGTTCGAGATGTGAAAAAGGTAAATGAAAAAATTCTCTTTTCTATCTCTCTGATCTGTTTCTGATCTGTTTCTGGTCTCTCTCTGGTCTCTCTTGCTGGTCTCTCTCTGGTCTCTCTCTCTGGTCTCTCTCTGGTCTCTCTCTCTGGTCTCTCTGGTCTCTCTCTGGTCTCTCTCTGGTCTCTCTCTCTGGTCTCTCTCTGGTCTCTCTCTCTGGTCTCTCTCTGGTCTCTCTCTGGTCTCTCTCTCTGGTCTCTCTCTGGTCTCTCTCTCTCTAGTCTCTCTCTGGTCTCGCTCTGGTCTCTCTCTCTGGTCTCTCTCTGGTCTCTCTCTCTGGTCTCTCTGGTCTCTCTCTGGTCTCTCTCTGGTCTCTCTCTCTGGTCTCTCTCTGGTCTCTCTCTCTGGTCTCTCTCTGGTCTCTCTCTGGTCTCTCTCTCTGGTCTCTCTCTCTCTAGTCTCTCTCTGGTCTCTCTCTGGTCTCTCTCTGGTCTCTCTCTCTCTAGTCTCTCTCTGGTCTCTCTCTCTCTAGTCTCTCTCTGGTCTCTCTCTGGTCTCTCTCTTGTCTCTCTCTGGTCTCTCTGGTCTCTCTCTCTCTAGTCTCTCTCTGGTCTCTCTCTCTCTAGTCTCTCTCTGGTCTCTCTCTGGTCTCTCTCTGGTCTCTCTCTCTCTAGTCTCTCTCTGGTCTCTCTCTGGTCTCTCTCTCTCTAGTCTCTCTCTGGTCTCTCTGGTCTCTCTCTCTCTAGTCTCTCTCTGGTCTCTCTCTGCTCTGTCTCTCTTTGGTCTCTCTCTTGGCTTTCTCTGGTCTCTCTCTGGTCCCTCTGGGCTCTCTCTTTGGTCTCTCTCTTTGGTCTCTCTCTGGTCTCTCTCTGCTCTGTCTCTCTCTGGTCCCTCTGGGCTCTCTCTTTGGTCTCTCTCACTCTGTGGATTGTCTCTCTCTGGTCTCTCTTTTGTCTCTCTCTGGTCCCTCTGGGCTCTCTCTTTGGTCTCTCTCTTGGCTTTCTCTGGTCTCTCAAAGGCGCTACGTGTTTTTCTATCATTAAATTTCTTGAACTGTTCGATTTTCTGATCTGTTGTTGGCAAATCGACAGCTTTGTGAAATCCTGCTGTTGTGATTTAGGGCTTTACAAAAACAAATTGAATTTATTTAATGACGTTTTTTTCCAGGGAAATCTGCCTCCAGATTATCAAATTACTCTGATTGACATTGGGCTGGTCCTGGAGTTCTTGATGGGCGGAGCTTACAGGAGCAAATACACACGCAAGGCCTTTCGTTTTCTCTACAACACCTTGTATGGTCTAAAGAGGGTAACAACGACAAAAAGATCAATTTTTTGTATTTCATTTAAACCAAATAGTATATGCAGTTAAAATGACTGTCTATGTCCTCTGTCACAGCCAAAAGCCCTCAAGCTGCTAGGAATGGAGGTAAAATGTGTTTAAACCCACTTTTTTATCAGTCATTTTTAGAGAAACAATAATAACAATAATAAATCACTCCAGGATGACGAGCCTCGAGGAAAGGGCAAGAAGAAAAAGAAGAAGAAGAAGGAGGAGGAAGTGGAGATCGACGAGGACGACCCAGAGGTGTGTCGCTTCAAGTTCCCCTTCCACGAGCTGATGCTGTGGGCAGTTCTGATGAAGAGGCAGAAGATGGCGCTGTTTCTGTGGCAGCGTGGAGAGGAGGCCATGGCCAAGGCGCTGGTGGCCTGTAAGCTGTACAAGGCCATGGCCCACGAGTGTTCTGAGAGCGAGCTGGTGGACGACATCTCCCAGGACCTCGAAAACAACTCCAGGTAATGATGTAGCGTTGACAGAGAAGCAAATTAATTATACAGCCATGGATTTTATGGACAAATTATAACCAACAAAGTGACTGCAAATGGGAGAAACATGGTCCAGAAGCCCTCACTCACTCATACACTCCTTCTTGTTGGAGAGGACTCAACACAAGCCTCGGTGATCCAAGATGGCGTCCTGTTCAAATGAATGGCTTGTGCTCAGTAGTTCATGGGACTTCACGGAGACCGGGAGATTAGCAGAACTCGCCCATATTTGGGCATCGTCTGGTCCTCCCGGTTCTGCGCAGTGGACAAGCTCCCATGATGCTTTGCGCCAAATGCGCATATGTGGCTTTCATGCACGTGCACAGAGGGGCTCGGCCGCGCTCTGACCAATCAGAGCTGATCAGAGCAGCAGCAGGGCGGAGTCAGAGCGGGAAGGAAAGGAGCAGAGTTTGTGGCAGTAAAGTGTGGATTTAAAGAAAACTGAAGGATTTAAGAAGAAAAAAGTTCAGGACGACAAGGGACACTAAAATCCCCAAAAAATCCGACCTTTTTGAAAGCTGTAGGTTCTCTGTCAGGTTTTCTGTCAGGTTCTCTGTCAGGTTCTCCGTCAGGTTCTCTGTCAGGTTCTCTGTCAGGTTCTCTGTCAGGTTCTCTGTCAGCTGAGGTCTTTTTTAGTTCACATTGAGTTCTATGGGACTTTTTTCTGGGTAGCCCTCGTGAATTTAGTGTGCAGTACCACAGCGCCCCCTGTGGTCATGGGTGGGACAGCTATAAGATAGTAATACCCTATCCAGTTATTATTTTAGATCCATGACCAACAATAGACAGTTTGGACTCATCTCATTGGTCTAAGGCGTGTCCAAACCATTTAGGAAGAGGGCTATTTCAGTTCGCCAGACTTTTTCAGGAGCCGACGACCAAGATAGTTAAACTGTTCTGACCGGATTCAGGCTGTTCTGAGCTTTAAAATCAGGTATGAAGAATCATGTCCATTGAATCATGTTGGGCAGGGCTGAATTTGGCTGAATGATAAAGGTTTACCATCTCACATTATTGGTATATTTGTAAATTTGTGGCACAATCAAAAAACAAAAGTCAGTAAATACATAAAGACAACGGCTGGAGTCTAGAGAATAAATGTTGGATCAGACGGTCATAAATATGCGATAGACTGGGAAAAAGCAAGAATGGAACTTTTAGGGATTTTCAGTGTAGTCTATGAGCTCCAAGTAGTGCTATGGGTCTGGGTTTCCTCCGACATGTCTGCAAACCACAGGGACTGGGCTCCTTACTGGTCCCAGAGTCAGGACTAAACATGGGGAGGCAGAGTTTCAGACTTATGCAGCTAAAGTGTGGAACAGTCTTCCTGAAAATGTGTTAAAATCCAGGTAGTGTAGCTGTGCATAAAGGATAGTGTAGCTGTGCATAAAGGATTGTATCTTTACTCTTTTTAATGTATTTAAGATTTGATGGGCGACAGTAGCTCAGTTGGTAGAGCATTGGCCTTCAAGCCTGAAGGTTGTGGGTTCAATTCCCATCTCTACACCTTCTCCACCGACTCCCACTGATGACTGCTGTCGTTGTGTCCTTGGGCAAGACACTTACCCCACTTTGCCCAAAGCCCCCACTGAAAGATCAAGGCTATGCTCACACTCAGAGAACAGCCGTCCTCCTGTGGACTCACCACCTGCAGAGGGTCAGTGAGGGGCTGGTGCTATGAGACTTGGGTGGCATCTCTGACTGCCACCCCCCTGACCCAGAAATGGATTAAAGGGTAGAAGATGGATGGATGGAGATTTGAAGGCCTTGTGTGATTTCTTTCTAGTTTTTCACTTTGAGGTGCCATTTGTATGAACCTTCGCTTGCCATATAATCCAGAAGTGTCTAAAGTGAAAATGGCAAAGCGTTTCTTGGCTGTGTGCAGAGAGTTTGGCCAGCTGGCGTACGAGCTGTTGGACCAGTCGTACAAACACGACGAGCAGGTGGCCATGAAGCTGCTGACCTACGAACTGGTCAACTGGAGCAACTCTACGTGTCTCAAACTGGCCGTCGCAGCCAAACAGAGAGACTTCATCGCTCACACCTGCAGCCAGCTGTTGCTCACCGACATGTGGATGGGCTGCCTGCGCATCGGCAAAAACCCCGGGCTGAAGGTAAACGAGACCAGAGAGTTCCTTCCACTAGAATTTGGTAATAATAATAATAATACAAAAAAGTTATATGCACTTTTAAGGAGGCTTTTAGTGGGAGACCAGAAAGAGAGAGACCAGAGAGAGGGCAGAGACCAGAGAGAGACCAAAGAAAGACTAGAGAGAGACCTGAGAGAGACCATAGAGAGAGACCAGAGAGAGACCTGAGAGAGACCTGAGAGAGACAAGGGAGAGAGACCAGAGAGAGAGACCAGAGAGAGACCTGAGAGAGACCAGAGAGAGAGACTAGAGAGAGACCAGAGAGAGACCTGAGAGAGACCTGAGAGAGCCCAGAGAGAGAGACCAGAGAGAGAGACCTGAGAGAGACCAGAGAGAGAGACCAGAGAGAGACCTGAGAGAGACTAGAGAGAGAGACTAGAGAGAGACCAGAGAGAGACCTGAGAGAGACCTGAGAGAGACCAGAGAGAGACAAAGGAGAGAGACCAGAGAGAGAGACCAGAGAGAGACCTGAGAGAGACCAGAGAGAGACCAGAGAGAGACTAGAGAGAGACCAGAGAGAGACCATAGAGAGACCAGAGAGAGACCAGAGAGAGACCAGAGAGAGACCAGAGAGAGACCAGAGAGAGACCAGAGAGAGACTAGAGAGAGACCTGAGAGAGACCATAGAGAGAGACCAGAGAGAGACCTGAGAGAGACCTGAGAGAGACCAGAGAGAGACTAGAGAGAGACTAGAGAGAGACCAGAGAGAGACCAGAGAGAGACCTGAGAGAGACCAGAGAGAGACTAGAGAGAGACTAGAGAGAGACTAGAGAGAGACCAGAGAGAGACCTGAGAGAGACCAGAGAGAGACCACTAGAGAGAGACTAGAGAGAGACTAGAGAGAGACCAGAGAGAGACCTGAGAGAGACCAGAGAGAGACCAGAGAGAGACTAGAGAGAGACTAGAGAGAGACCAGAGAGAGACCAGAGAGAGACTAGAGAGAGACTAGAGAGAGACTAGAGAGAGACCAGAGAGAGACTAGAGAGAGACTAGAGAGAGACCAGAGAGAGACCTGAGAGAGAGACCAGAGAGAGACCAGAGAGAGACCAGAGATGCAGCCATTCAGCAGAGCGGTGATGGTTTATGTCTGTGTTAGTAGGACCCTGTGAGACCAGAGTGAAATTTCCTCCGGGAACATAAAACATTTCTCTTGAATCTTGAATCTTCAGATGAATTCTAAAGTATCACATTTCTTTCAGGTTATCCTCGGTATCATTTTCCCTCCTATGATTCTTCTGTTGGATTTCCGAGTTGGAGACGAGACGTATCAAACCGTGACGGACGGCGGGAAAGACAAGGACGATGACGCAAAATCTGGCAAGGTCTGTGCTTTTTGAGGTCTTTCGTTTTGGATCTATGTCGGCAGCTTTTCAACAAGATTCACATATTGTACCAGGAAGCCGCTGATTCCACATCCAGAAGAGGAGACGAAGAAGAAGGCAGCACCAAAGTCCGTAAAATCCCCATCGCCAGAAGATACTTTGAGTTTTACGACGCGCCTTTCACTAAGTTCTGGTTCAACACTGTAAGTTTTTCTCCAACCACAAAGACCAGAGAGAGACTAGAGAGAGACCAGAGAGAGACCAGAGAGAGACCAGAGAGAGACTAGAGAGAGACCAGAGAGAGACTAGAGAGAGACCAGAGAGAGACTAGAGAGAGACTAGAGAGAGACCAGAGAGAGACTAGAGAGAGACTAGAGAGAGACCAGAGAGAGACTAAGAGAGAGAGACCAGAGAGAGACCAGAGAGAGACCAGAGAGAGACTAGAGAGAGACCAGAGAGAGACTAGAGAGAGACCAGAGAGAGACTAGAGAGAGACTAGAGAGAGACCAGAGAGAGACTAGAGAGAGACTAGAGAGAGACCAGAGAGAGACCTGAGAGAGACCAGAGAGAGACCAGAGAGAGACCAGAGAGAGACAAGAGAGAGAGACTAGAGAGAGACCAGAGAGAGACTAGAGAGAGACCAGAGAGAGACTAGAGAGAGACTAGAGAGAGACCAGAGAGAGACTAGAGAGAGACTAGAGAGAGACCAGAGAGAGACCAGAGAGAGACCAGAGAGAGACCAGAGAGAGAGACCAGAGAGAGACCAGAGAGAGACCAGAGAGAGACTAGAGAGCGACCAGAGAGAGACTAGAGAGAGACTAGAGAGAGACCAGAGAGAGACCTGAGAGAGAGACCAGAGAGAGACTAGAGAGAGACCAGAGAGAGACCGAGAGAGACCAGAGAGAGAGACCAGAGAGAGACCAGAGAGAGACCAGAGAGAGACTAGAGGGAGACTAGAGAGAGCCTAGAGAGAGACTAGAGAGAGACTAGAGAGAGACTAGAGAGAGACCAGAGAGAGACCAGAGAGAGACTAGAGAGAGACTAGAGAGAGACTAGAGAGAGACCAGAGAGAGCCTAGAGAGAGACTAGAGAGAGACTAGAGAGAGACTAGAGAGAGACCAGAGAGAGACCAGAGAGAGACCTGAGAGAGACCAGAGAGAGACTAGAGAGAGACCTGAGAGAGACTAGAGAGAGACCAGAGAGAGACCTGAGAGAGACCAGAGACCAGAGAGAGACTAGAGAGAGACCAGAGAGAGACCAGAGAGAGACCAGAGAGAGACTAGAGAGAGACCAGAGAGAGACTAGAGAGAGACCAGAGAGAGACTAGAGAGAGACTAGAGAGAGACTAGAGAGAGACCAGAGAGAGACTAGAGAGAGACTAGAGAGAGACCAGAGAGAGACCTGAGAGAGACCAGAGAGAGACCAGAGAGAGACCAGAGAGAGACCAGAGAGAGACTAGAGAGAGACCAGAGAGAGACTAGAGAGAGACCAGAGAGAGACTAGAGAGAGACTAGAGAGAGACCAGAGAGAGACTAGAGAGAGACTAGAGAGAGACCAGAGAGAGACCAGAGAGAGACCAGAGAGAGACCAGAGAGAGAGACCAGAGAGAGACCAGAGAGAGACCAGAGAGAGACTAGAGAGCGACCAGAGAGAGACTAGAGAGAGACTAGAGAGAGACCAGAGAGAGACCTGAGAGAGAGACCAGAGAGAGACTAGAGAGAGACCAGAGAGAGACCAGAGAGAGACCAGAGAGAGAGACCAGAGAGAGACCAGAGAGAGACCAGAGAGAGACTAGAGAGAGACTAGAGAGAGCCTAGAGAGAGACTAGAGAGAGACTAGAGAGAGACTAGAGAGAGACCAGAGAGAGACCAGAGAGAGACTAGAGAGAGACTAGAGAGAGACTAGAGAGAGACCAGAGAGAGAGAGACCAGAGAGAGACCAGAGAGAGACTAGAGAGAGACCAGAGAGAGCCTAGAGAGAGACTAGAGAGAGACTAGAGAGAGACTAGAGAGAGACCAGAGAGAGACCAGAGAGAGACCTGAGAGAGACCAGAGAGAGACTAGAGAGAGACCTGAGAGAGACTAGAGAGAGACCAGAGAGAGACCTGAGAGAGACCAGAGACCAGAGAGAGACCAGAGAGAGACCAGAGAGAGACTAGAGAGAGACCAGAGAGAGACCAGAGAGAGAGACCAGAGAGAGAGACCAGAGAGAGACTAGAGAGAGACCAGAGAGAGACCAGAGAGAGACCTGAGAGAGACTAGAGAGAGACCAGAGAGAGACTAGAGAGAGACTAGAGAGAGACCAGAGAGAGACCAGAGAGAGACCTGAGAGAGACCAGAGAGAGACCAGAGAGAGACCTGAGAGAGACTAGAGAGAGACCAGAGAGAGACTAGAGAGAGACTAGAGAGAGACCAGAGAGAGACCAGAGAGAGACCTGAGAGAGACCAGAGAGAGACCAGAGAGAGACCAGAGAGAGACCAGAGAGAGACTAGAGAGAGACCAGAGAGAGACTAGAGAGAGACCAGAGAGAGACTAGAGAGAGACTAGAGAGAGACCAGAGAGAGACTAGAGAGAGACTAGAGAGAGACCAGAGAGAGACTAGAGAGAGACCAGAGAGAGACCAGAGAGAGACCAGAGAGAGACTAGAGAGAGACCAGAGAGAGACTAGAGAGAGACAAGAGAGAGACCAGAGAGAGACCAGAGAGAGACCAGAGAGAGACTAGAGAGAGACCAGAGAGAGACTACCACAAAGAAAAATCCGGGGTTTTGTCACTGATGATATTTGTTTTTATCCCTCAGATTTCTTACCTGGGTTACTTGATGCTTTTATCCCTCAGATTTCTTACCTGGGTTACTTGATGCTTTACAACTACATTATTCTGGTCAAAATGGAACGATGGCCTTCGCTTCAGGAATGGATCGTCATCGCGTACATCCTCACACTGGGCACAGAAAAAGTCCGACAAGTAAGAACGAGATCACAGCCCATTATCTCACACCTCTGGAAACGTAGCCATAATCTGCTCCGTTAAATGTCTATTGTGTGTGTTACTGTGTTAGATTGTTATTGTTAAGTTACAGACTAAAAATATATCAAGTGGAAAACTGAAAATATACAGTAATAACATTGTGTGTGTGTGTGTCTCTGTGTGTGTTTGTGATGTGTGTGGGCGTGTGTGTGTGTGCCTGTGTGTGTGTGTATGTCTGTCTGTGTGTGTGTGTTTGTGTATCTGTGTGTGTGTCTGTGCATGTGTGTGTGTCTGTGTGTGTGTGTATCTCTGTCTGTGTGTGTGTTTGTGTATCTGTGTGTGTGTCTGTGCATGTGTGTGTGTCTGTGTGTGTGTCTCTGCGCGTGTGTGTGTGTGTCTCTGTGTGTGTGTGTGTGTGTGTGTCTGTGTGTGTATTTTTGTGTGTGTGTGTGTGTGTGTGTCTGTGTGTGTGTGTGTATTTGTGTGTGTGTGTCTGTGTGTGTGTGTGTGTGTGTGTGTCTCTCTGTGTGTGTGTGTGTGTGTGTGTCTGTGTGTGTGTGTCTCTCTCTGTGTGTGTGTCTCTCTCTCTGTGTGTGTGTCTCTCTCTGTGTGTGTGTGTCTCTCTCTGTGTGTGTGTCTCTCTCTGTGTGTGTCTGTGTGTGTGTGTCTCTCTCTGTGTGTGTGTGTCTCTCTCTGTGTGTGTGTCTCTCTCTGTGTGTGTGTCTCTCTCTCTGTGTGTGTCTCTCTCTCTGTGTGTGTGTGTCTCTCTCTGTGTGTGTGTCTCTCTCTCTGTGTGTGTGTCTCTCTCTGTGTGTGTGTGTCTCTCTCTGTGTGTGTGTCTCTCTCTGTGTGTGTGTGTCTCTCTCTGTGTGTGTGTCTCTCTGTGTGTGTGTCCATACGCAGGTCCTCATGTCGGAGCCTGGGAAGCTGAAGCAGAAGGTGAGTGTGTGGCTGGAGGAGTACTGGAACATCACGGACCTTGTGGCCATCTGCACCTTCGTGTTGGGGCTGATGCTGCGGCTGCAGCCGGAGCCGTACATGGGCTACGGCCGCGTCATCTACTGCATCGACATCATCTTCTGGTACATCCGAGTGCTCGACATCTTTGGAGTCAACAAGTACCTGGGACCGTACGTCATGATGATCGGCAAAATGGTACTAAACACTTTAGTTTTACATACACTGTAAAAAGTGACAAAAACAGAATTGTCTCAAAATGGCTTAATTTGAGCACATTCTGCTTTCTTCAAATCGATTATTCTCCAATGGGTCAAAGAAAAATTATCTTTTTTTAAAAAGATACAAGAATTATCTCCCTTGGAATGAGAAAATAAAGCAAGAGACTTTGAAAAAGGACTAAATGACTTTGTCCCGTTGGAGAATCTAGTTTTAACAACAGCAAGAATCAAAGGACAAGAAAAAAAAGAAGTCCGGAAATGACAATAATTTCCATTGGTTGGCTGAGTGGTTAGCACTCTCACTTCTCAGGTTCGAATCCCAGTCGGAACAGGATCTTTCTAAGTGGACTTTGCATGTTTTCTCCTCATGCCTGCATAGGTTTCCTCCGGGTGCTCCGTATTCCCCTACCACTAAAAACATGTATAATTGGTAAAATCCTCCGGCTGTGGTTGTCCTGACCGAGCTGAGCATCAACATCTGGAGATGGGTCCCTCCGGGGCGCTGTTACTACGGCGACCACTGCTCCTGACAGACGCCCTAGTGGCATCAGGCTGGGTCAAATGCAGAAGATGAATTGCCATTGGATGAAATGAAGCGCACCCTTTACTATCCCTAACCCTTTACTATCCCTAACCCTTTACTATCCCTAACCCTTTACTATTCACTCCACACACGGTGATGACAGAGAGACTCATTCATACGGTTTATAGTTTTCAGCTCATGTCGATGATGCTTGACCCTGTTCTCTCTGAACAGGGTCAAGCATCATCGACATGATTGACCCTTGACCCTGTCCTCTCTGAAGGCCACTCTCTTCTTGCAGATGATTGACATGATGTACTTTGTGGTCATCATGCTGGTGGTCCTCATGAGCTTCGGAGTGGCGCGTCAGGCCATCCTCCACCCGGACGAGGAGCCCACGTGGCGCTTGGCCCGGAACATCTTCTACATGCCCTACTGGATGATCTATGGGGAGGTTTTTGCAGACTCGATAGACCGTAAGACTAGAGTTCATAGTAAGATTTGGTTTCCTGATTCTGGGCAGATGATCCGTGTCGTTTCCTTGTGTTGGTTTTCTCGTAACAATCTGTCGAATTGAACTTCATAAAAAAATACAGCACTAAAATTGTGATCATCTGCCATCTAGTCATCTTCAGCTGTTAACTTTCACTAGCGATCATAGACTGTATACAGATGGACCATGCTAACATGCTAGCTCAGGAAGCACAATAAGGTTACGGTTTTTTGGCTCCTATTGACTTATAATTAAAAGTGAATTCCTCCAGCTCAGTAATCTCTGTAATCCTGGTGTTTAAAGTTGAATAGATTCTTTACAAATCCAGATATGAGCCATAATGATTGACATAACAGTTGCCCCGGCGAGCCTTAGCAACCCTGCTAGCAACACTTTAGTTAGCATGTGTCATTGCTATGTCAAGTATGCCTATATAAGGAAATTTGCTTCTGAAATGGCTTCTTCCATTTTCCTCTAGCTGTATGGGTGTTAGCAAAATTGCAGGTTGTTGAATAACAAAATAGTTAGCATGTGCCCCTGCTACGGTGTGTATATCACCCCATTGTAACAAATGCCCATATAAGGAAATTGGCTCTAACTCGCTGGTGTTATAATTGGCTTCTTCCATATTTTGCGAACAATATGGGTGTTAGTGAAAATTCCAGCTAGACTTAACAACTATGTTAGCAAAATTGCTGGTTGGTCAATATTGACCAATCAGATGCCCAGCTAGCCTTAGAGACCATGCTAGCTACATGTCAGTTAGCATGTGCACCTGCTACTGCATGTAGATAACCCCGCCATAACAGATGCCCATGAAAGGACTAGCTAGTGTTAAAATCAGGTTCTCCAGTATTTGGCTAACAATTTAGGTTAATACACTGCTTTATGGTCTATGCTAGAAATCCACACATTAAAGATCACTAGTGTTTACTAATTACTACTAACAAAAGACATTTGTCCAATTATATGAATACATCACATTGGAAGATTTCAAAGCAACACATTTATTTAAGGGCGTGTTCTCATTGTTCTGCTGGACTCTGGACTTCAGAATCAAAACCATCTTCATGAAGCCGTGAGCTAACGTGGCTACTGCAGTGACTTAAACCCGAGTGTCGTGGTGGAAACGTGCCTCTAGATGTGGTGTCCTTTGGATATGACACACAAACTATCTTTACCACCTCCAGGATTAAAGAATTGGACTCAAGAATGTAAGACTTTTTTTTTTGTACAACATTTTCTACATATAAAACTTAAATTACTTGAATGACTTTGCTTTTTTAATTAAAGGCAACACTGGGTTCATGGACCAGTGCTTTCTTATCTCCACAAATAATTCTCCTCAAAGTGAAACAGATTTATTCCCAAATGAGCCAGAGTTCACTTCACATGGACTACATGAGAACGCGCCCTGATCTTTGAATTTAAGCAGCATTTTAAACACAACTTCATAAGACTAACACGCAGTATCCATTCTCCATTAAAAGTATAATATGTTGGATTTTACTAAGAATGTGATTATGCATTTAATATAACAAGAAAAAAGGTTTGGATCAGACATTCTTAGTCCAATAATCTTGCATATTATGACTTTGCAATAACTCTTGACTGAATCGGATCTAACTGTAAATAATATAAATGTCTACAATTTTTGTTTGGTTACAATTGACACTGTTGCCCATAAAGTTTTATAAAGATATTTAGGCCCATCTTCATTTTGTTTTTAAATATTTATCCACAACGGTAATTATGTTTGAGGAGGATTTCTTTCTTTGTCTTACACTGTAAAAAGTTATGAAAAATAAGGGGAAAATTGCTCAAATTTGGCAAAATGTATCTTAATCTGAGCACAGAATTATCCTGTTTTAAAAAGGTACAAGAAATGGGCGGCACGGTGGCTGAGTGGATAGCACTCTCGCCTCTCAGCAAGAAGGTCCTGGGTTCGAATCCCGGTCAAACCAGGGCCTTTCTGAGTGGAGTTTGCATGTTCTCCCCGTGTCTGCGTAGGTTTCCTCCGGGTACTCCGGTTTCCCCTACCACTAAAAATATGTCCAATAGTTCTGGCATGCGCCTCCTGTACTGGCCCCGCTCCCATCTCTGTGTGGAGTGAGAGACAAATGCCCAAAATTAACAATTGTAAACCGCTTTGAGACTCAGATCTGCAGTGAAAAGGCGGTATATAAATAAATAACTTACTTACTAACTTACTAACTAACTTACTTAAATGTCTCGCTTGGAATGAGAAAGTAAAGCAACAGTTCTTCAAATAAGACTAAATTACTAAATCATAACACTGGGTAACAAAAATGTATGTTTTGAAAATAGTCCAGGGTTTTTCAGCTGAATTAGACTAATGTTGATGCTCTGAGTCTGAAAATGACCTCGGTTTTGCTCAATCAGGTCAGGATTTTTTGCTACAGAATTTTTTTTTTTTTATCGATTTTGCGTAAAAAACTAATTTCTGCGGATCATCAGCTAAGAAACCCTTGACGTTTTTTCCGTTTTCCTCAAAGAAATAAAAGTCAACGTATCCAAAGTCATTCAGTTTTTATTTACTCGATCAAATTTGATAAGCAGAGTTCATAATATTAGTAAAACAATGAGCGTTACGTGACATTTTAGAGTTCACGGCATAAATCGGCGTTTCTTTGTTTCCCGTGTGTGAGCAGCTGCTGGGTTGGCTCTCTTCAGCGACCACTATGGCTAACACTATGGCTAACACTATGGCTAACACTATGGCTAACACTATGGCTAACACTATGGCTAACACTATGGCTAACACTATGGCTAACACTATGGCTAACACTATGGCTGTATCTCAAAAAGTTGACCTGATAGAGAAAAATGCATGTGATATTCGGACTCAGAACACCAACATTAGTCTGAATCAGTTTTTTGGCTGTCAACTTGTGGCATTTATAAGATTAAAGTAGGTGCTTTTGTTTTCTTGTTTCCTGTGAAAATGATGTGTGCAGGTTTCAAAATAAAATAATCCATTCATTCATTCATTAAAAGTTGTAACAAAATCATTATTTACAAGAGTAAAGCTGTAATTACACGCCTCCGCAGAGCCCATAATCCACAAAAGCAGTCGTTCTGGTTCTTTCCCTGGACCAACCTTTTCTTTATTCTTTTTAAAGTTCTAATACTTGTACTAACATGGTCCTGATGTGCCAAAAGGTTAAGGTTGTTTGGGAAACCTATCCTGAACTCCAAAAACTCCACAAAAATCGCCCACATTATTAAAAAACTGTCTTCCACAACATAAAATAATATGAATAATAATAATAATAAAATATAAATATATGTTACAACTTTATTCTCGTAAAAAATGATTTATTTACTTTAATCTTAAAGTTGTTTGTTGTTTTCTAAATGTGGCCCTTATGCTCCGTCGTACTAAATGGCTCTGTCCCATTGGCTTCTTGTTTTAAGATCGGCAGAATGTGCTCGAATTAAGAAAAAAACCACTCGATCCAAGCAATTATGACCTCATTTTTCATCATTTTTTGCAGTGTATGCAGTTCAAAACAAAATAATGGAATCTGTATCGGCAACAGCAGAAGTTTAGAAATATCTGTGTGAATTTAACGCTTTTGAATCCTTTGTCTCCTCTGTCTCTGTGAAGTCTACGCAATGGAAATCAACCGTGAGTGTTTGATAATCAGATTAAACCGTGCAGTAGTTTCCGACAGAGGGGACATAAACACTGACTTGTCGTCTCGTTAGCTCCCTGCGGCGAACACTTGTACGACGAGGATGGGAAGAAGCTGCCTCCGTGTATTCCCGGCGCCTGGCTCACTCCCGCCATCATGGCCTGCTACCTCCTGGTGGCCAACATCCTCCTGGTCAACCTGCTCATCGCCGTCTTCAAGTGAGTCCTCAGTCGGAGTCTACGGGGAAAGTCAAAGCAAAAAAACAATTCAATATGGAGAGAATCAAATAAACAAAACAGGGGCTTTTTTAGAATTGTATATTTGTTGGGAATTAAAGACCTTATGACGGGTTTGATTTATTTAGAAATACAGTTTTAATACCATTTTATATTAGAAGAGAACTACTAAAGGTTTCAAAATCAGTTGTTGTTTTTTTTGTCTGATGCCCCCAAATCGAAATAACCCCATAGCAACGCCCTTAGAAACGAAAAAACTTCACAGCCCTTGGTGACGTCAGAGTGGGTACGTTTCAACGCTGTAAGTTGTTTACAATTTGGTATTCGTTCTTTTTTCGCGGATATTCAAGATGACAAGGCCGTGTACAGCGAGTGCGTGATAACTACTAGAATATCACATTTCGTTGTCACTGAGATAGTCCAGTGGTTGTGTCGATGGACTGTCAATCCAGACACTGGGGTTCAAATCCCACCTCAGACACTTTTTCACTCTCAAACGGCAATTTATGTGTAGTGAGCAATTGTCACCTGTAGAGGGCAGTATTGTGTTGGGCATCAGTGGAGAGAAGAGAGAAAAGGCAGTCCTGTGGCATAGATCCATGGTTTTCAATGCATGGGCGTTACCCGCTGTGACGTCACACACAGGTTAGAGCATAGACAGCTTAAATTCATGAAAAACACGTTCTTTTTATAAAATATAGGATTTTTTTTGCCGGAATCTCTTTCAAATTGATATTGTCATGCAATTTTGATATCCACTATTTAAAAAAAAAAAAACCAGTCATAAGGTCTTTAACAGACACTTTATAAAGTAACACATGCTTCTCTGAGGACGATGTTTGCTAGATTGCTGTACAAAGAAATGTGGTTAATATTTGGCGCTTAGACCTCGGCAGAGCAGGGCAGGAGGATTGCAGAAGGGGAAATGACGATAGAGATTATGAGATGAAATCCCCGGGGTCTAGGCCCTAGAGATGGGGAGGAGGAGGGTTGCGACGTGATGGAGCTTCCCCGCGATATGAAGCTGATGCAGTGCTTGATAGCTGCCAGGTGAGGGCAGTGTGGCGCTGCAGCTGAGTGTGATTGACAGATGCTGTTGCCGTTAGCGACAGTGGGAGGACTGTGAGCTTAGTTCTTCCTGTCGTCCAGTTTGAATGTCTGCCTTAGATTCTTATTGTTGTTTGACGTTTAACCATAACACAATAATACGGCTTCAAGCCAAAGACAGAGACATTCATCCAAGACTTCCAACTGTAAAACTCTAGATCTAAGAATGTTTTATTGTATGGAGTTGCAAAGAGGTCAAAGCTTCCAGGTTCCCAAAAGAGAATTTTATTACAATAAAGTTAGAGATTTTATACATGCAAACAATAATTCAATTGTCTGATTCTTTTAAATACCTTTGGGGAATTTTACTTTCAGAATCTGGAATCTCCGTCCACTTTGCAGCTCCATTAGTCCACAGACTTACACAAAGACGGAAGCCAAGGATTATTTTGTTTCAGTGATAGTAAGATGTTATAACTATGAGCACATTCCTAAAAGTCTGTTTTTATAGCAGACACACACACACTCGCACACACACAATACAATAACACTCTGTTGTCCCTCAGCAACACTTTCTTTGAGGTGAAGTCCATCTCAAACCAGGTGTGGAAGTTCCAGAGGTACCAGCTGATCATGACGTTCCACGACCGGCCCATCCTGCCCCCGCCCCTCATCATCCTCAGTCACCTCTACATCCTCCTGAGCCGACTGTTCAAGCGCTGCGCCAAGAAGAAAGTGGACGGAGAGCTGGACGAGAAAGACCGCGGCCTCAGTGAGTCTGACCCGTGGAACTCTGCTCTCCGTGTGTTTGACCTGATCTGATGTTGTAGTGGTCATTGGTAAAATTACAACTTTTTAAAGCTATAATTTTACCAATGATTATACCAAACAGATTTACTTAAACATAAATGTAAATATGATTCATAGAGTTCCACAGATATCTACCGTCGAGCATAACGTGTGTGGGTTCGACTGATTGTTAAAGACTGATTTTAAGGCAAGGCAAGCTTATTTGTATAGCACAGTTCATACACAAGGCAACTCCAGGTGCTGGGACTCTGAGGAGCACAGGGACTGGACTCCTGCTGGGACTCTGAGGAGCACAGGGACTGGACTCCTGCTGGGACTCTGAGGAGCACAGGGACTGGCCTCCTGCTGGGACTCTGAGGAGCACAGGGACTGGACTCCTGCTGGGACTCTGAGGAGCACAGGGACTGGACTCCTGCTGGGACTCTGAGGAGCACAGGGACTGGACTCCTGCTGGGACTCTGAGGAGCACAGGGACTGGCCTCCTGCTGGGACTCTGAGGAGCACAGGGACTGGCCTCCTGCTGGGACTCTGAGGAGCACAGGGACTGGCCTCCTGCTGGGGACTCTGAGGAGCACAGGGACTGGCCTCCTGCTGGGGACTCTGAGGAGCACAGGGACTGGCCTCCTGCTGGGGACTCTGAGGAGCACAGGGACTGGCCTCCTGCTGGGACTCTGAGGAGCACAGGGACTGGCCTCCTGCTGGGACTCTGAGGAGCACAGGGACTGGCCTCCTGCTGGGGACTCT